GCTGCTGCTTGACGCTTGCTGCTTGCTGCGTGCAGTCTGTAGCAGGCTTAAGCCTGCCACAGACTACACGCAGCAAGCAGCAAGCGTCAAGCAGCAGCCAATCAACGAAGAGATATTTTCTACGCCACTGCTGACGCTTCCGCAAAATTCAGCAGTGTTGGATCCTCGCTGCTCGACGCTTGCCGCTTGCTGCGTGCAGTCTGTAGCAGGCTTTAGGGGCTTGAACGCAGCCAATCCCGAAGCACCGATCATGAAAACCGGCCCGGCTCGCGTTAACTTCGGTCGATTCCGGCTAATCTCGCTTGATCGCGGTGACCGAGAGACCTTCGATTGCTCTGGATCGTGGCATACATACGTACGCCGATCGCGCCGTGTCCACCGGTGCTCGCCGTCCTGTTTTTTTTTTGTTTCATTTCCGCACGATTCGCGTACGTTTTCCGCGAGCGAGCACGCCCGAGCGAGCCGATCGAGGTCGGGGAAACAGTCCTGGGAAACAGTAGGTATCATGTCTCACGGCGGTAGGAACGAGTGTAGGATTTACGTGGGCAATCTGCCGCCGGACATCCGCACCAAGGACATCCAGGATCTCTTCTACAAGTTCGGTAAAGTTACCTTCGTCGACCTGAAGAACCGCCGCGGCCCGCCGTTCGCCTTCGTCGAGTTCGACGATCCGAGGTGAGTTCGGCCGCGCGAGAGGCGCGCGGGCGCGCACGCCTCGTTTCGCGCGAGCCATTTAACACGTTGCACGCTTGTTGGCGATGTGCGTCGTTGAGTCGGGGTCGCCGTTTGTCGCGACCTCGTGGCCGACGCGACGCAGTTGGTCGAGTCGAGCGGACGAGACCCCGCACCCGACCGTGTAAATTCGCTCGCTTCTCGCGCGTTTACGCGAGCGACGCGTGAAATTGCGGAAACGCTACCTCGGGCAACTAACGGAAAAAAAAATAACTGTTACCTCGCGGACACGCGGTAACAGAACTTTTCCGAGGGCTAAACCGCCGAGGGCTTTGTGGCGTGCAGATTTGCAGCGTTACTGGGCACTTTTCGGCATTAGTTTGGGCATCGGGCCTTGCTGGAGCCTCATAAAGATAAGAAGTGATGACCACTTGGCGTTAGTGGACATTGGTATACGTGATTTTGGCCGTGGTTTACCCCTCGGACTTTTCTCTACGGAATCCCATAGGATACTTGCGGCTCTCGATCGAAGGGAAAGTTTACTGTAATGGTAGTGAAGAAAAGAAGTGCATACTTTTTTTAAGATTCACAACATTGTTTGAAGGCATGCGACATCACTTCAAGATACAGCTTTTCTCCCGATAGTACGAAATGTGTTCTCTGTCTCGGTTTATTTCGTACAAGCATTTGATACAATTTCCGTTTATTCGTCGCAATTAACTTTCAGAGGGCGGGAAGCCAATTTTCAGGAGATTGCTCCTTCCTTTCGTTTGTAAATAACAGTTTGATGACAGATCTGCCTATCCTCTGAGGATTCTAGGCTCGTCGCCGCCGCAGGCAGAGATCCCGCTTGAGAACGACGCCGGCAATTCACCTCCCCCCCTTTACTAACTCGCTCGGCTCTTTCAGAGATGCGGAGGACGCGGTGCACGCGAGGGACGGCTACGACTACGACGGCTACCGTTTGAGAGTGGAGTTTCCGCGCGGCGGCGGGCCCAGTAACAACTTCCGCGGCGGACGCGGCGCCGGGGACAGCAGCCGGGGCGGCCGCGGCGAGATGAGCAACTCGCGCGGCCGCGGCCCGCCCGCGCGACGATCGCAGTACAGGGTGCTGGTGAGCGGCCTGCCGCCCTCCGGCAGCTGGCAGGACCTCAAGGACCACATGCGCGAGGCCGGCGACGTCTGCTTCGCGGACGTCTACAAGGACGGCACTGGCGTCGTCGAGTTTCTCAGACACGACGACATGAAGTACGCCGTGAAGAAGCTGGACGACTCGAGATTTAGATCGCACGAGGTACGAACCCATCGCCGTTGTCCTAATTGCAAGTACATTAATGCGTTCCAGCGACGAGTTTTCGATAGAACGCGCGACCGCGCCTCCTCGATACGCTTCGAATTGTATCTGCTTGATATCCAGGGCGAGGTAGCTTACATCCGCGTGAAGGAGGACCACAGCGGCGGCGACAGGGGACGCAGCGAAGACCGGGAGAGGGGCCGTACCCGCTCGCGAAGCTACAGCCCGCGGCGTCGTGGTTCTCCCACTTACTCGCCGTTGCGGCGTAATTACTCGCGATCAAGATCTCGCTCCAGATCTCGCTCGTACGACTAGTATGTACGTATGTGTTTCACACGGTAATATATAAGTACAGGTTTATATTGATATTTGCTCTTTACCATGTTTCATTATTGCTGATTTAAAACTTTTCACTCGATAAAAAAGAGAGAGAGAGAAAAAAAAGAACGTTTCCAAACCCAAACGCAGATTTTGTATAAAAGATTTAAATGAATTCCTCAATACTGCCTGAATTCAATAACCAATTGATTGATTGTATTGTATCTCTGATGTATAATTGGAGCACGGTTTATTTCGTACGTACATGTCACGATTATTTTTTAAGTTTCTTGTTTCCAAAGTAAGCATATATATATATATCTCTAATCAGTCGACCCAGAAGCAAGTTAATTTAGCGATTTCATTTTTCGTCGTCACTCTAACAAAAGTCTCATATTGGATAATTATTTTGAAGTATTTATACACGCAAAGTACTGTTGGACCTCTTATCGTTCTCAAAAAAAAAAAATGGAATCGTGCTCGAGATCATGTGTAACTGTTCATCCAAACTGTCTAATCTACATTTAAAGATACATTCCTCCACATATTTGCCAATTTGTCATCACTACCACCTATGAAATGTGTAACAATTTTGACGTATTGTTCACGAGCCTTTCTCAACAAAATTAGACCTAAATCCCGTAACTCCATTTATTCTGCCTTTTAACTTTAATGTAAATAACAAACGAGATCATTAATATTTATTAACATCGATACGGCGAATACTTTTCATTGACAATAACTCGTTCACTTTTTGCTAACACACGCCTTTTAATCATGGTAGCTACTTTATTGCATCATTGAGATACATTCATGCTTGAGACTTCGTTTGTATTCGGATACACTTCGCAGTAGTAAAACGTGAAATTTTTGAGGTCTGCCTAACAAAAGCTTCTTGATAATCTCTCGCAGTCGTCGCGCGAATTTACTAACATCCTTTTTGTAATCGAAATCATCTTTCCATATTCAGGACACTTTTGTCCCGTGTTACTACTATGAAAGTGCTAACCTTCATCATACAAAACCAGACGTGTACAGGAACATGGGTAAACCGTTTGTACTAACGTATTTGACATACACATTTTATAGACGTACATTTTAATGAACAGCGAGTTTTGTTACTGGCACTAGTGCGCGCCGAGTGCACGCTAAGGCTTTTTCCGTAGTCAATCTTATATTTTAAGCTCATCTTAAATGCGTGTTCAAAAACTATTCAACTAAAAAAGTGATTTTTGATTGTTTTGAAAAAAAAATTATATTTTTGGCTAACAGATACTTCGTGAGATATTTAAAATGATTCTTAAATGTAAGAATTGGCTGTAAACTAGCCTTAGCACTCGGTGCGCACTAGTGCGAGCCACCGAACTCGCTGAAAGAAACAGGGCTTAAAGTAATACTTATTTTAGCTTAAGATGCCTTGCTCTTGTCATATTTTTCAAGTCGATATTATGACACAGTAAATACGATACGGCATATCTAATCGCCTGAATTAACACACTACATAATCGGGGTGGATCGACTGTTATAGTACGTCATATATGTCAAAAGTCATGCGCTACTGTCTAGTTGCAGATTTCCTAACGCGTTTAGAATCGATTTTCTAGCACTAACAATAAATTCTTGTCGAGAAATCTGCAACTTAAGAGAAAGCACACAATATGCACATATATTCTGTATACATGCGTCTTCGCTAATAACAAATAAACGAGTTAGAAGAGTAGCATGCTATGTATATTGGTCTTACAAAAATATATATATATATTTTTTTTTTAAATATAGCGTACGATATCTTAACTCTAACGGGGATAACGTGTACATAGAAATAAATACCTCAAGATTGTTTACACGATTCATTTACACGACTCGCCATTTGAATCAAAATAATTCCAAATCGAAAAGCAGTAGTGATGACAATACGTCGCGCATATATGTATAATAAAATATATGTAATATTTATTACACACAACACACATAATTATATTGGCACAAAAATCTTTCTTTTTATTATCACTCCCATCATACGATCGAATTAATTCGCTTTATAATAACACGCAATTGTATTTTGACAATAGACTTTGGAAGACCTTTCATGTTTCGTGGGTCATATCCTGATTTTGCAGATTGCGTTTGATGTTATTTCAGTACAAAATATCTAACTTATTTAGACCTTTAACATTTCTCGATGTGAAAATATATACAGCATAACGTGCTCATTATATATATATGTATATGTATATATATCTATGTATGTATATACATATATGTGTGATGAATAATCTGGACATTTGCAGCATTGTCCGGATTAAAATACGTTTTAAGTAATACACGACGAAATGCGGTGAAATGCGGTGAAATATCTACCAATTGATACATTGTCTTTCGCATTTCTCTGTTCGTGTGTTTTCCTTTCTGTTTCACCTGCAACAGCCACATGATTAAACGCGCTTTTGAGAATTTCTTTTATATCCCGGAACTCGCGGCACACACGCGTTTGAAAGGAAAACATTGAATATCGTGTATTTCATGCTATTTTTGCAAATTAACCCTGTGATCTTGATTACCTTTGTGATTTAAACTTCATCACTGTGCGAACATTTCCTTTTCGAGAAAGTATAATATCTAAAATCTTCTGCCATACAGTCTGTATCATACACACGGTGCAGTTTCGTAACTTTATATATCACAGGCATTACATTTGCATTAATAAAACTATATCTAATATTAATTTACATCACATAAGGAACTAATGTATTTTTTCTTCTTTTGTATATTGGGATTATAACACAATGAATGAAAAACTGAAATCAACACGATCTTACTTCTTGGATGGATATAATACACATTCGCTTCACGTTGGGATGAGATGGATTGCGTTTCGGAGGATTTGCGATACGGAGAGCATAAATTATAAGAGGATTAAAAGACATAGATGAAAATGAGAATAGCGAAACGGGATACTTTCAAGAGGAAATTCAGGATGAGGAGGAAGGATTCTCAGTTGCTGGATCAGGAAACGTTGGCAAGTCCATTACGAGGAGGCGATGAACGCCCATTAATATTTCTTTTTGAAACTAGTAGAATCCCAGTTTGAGAAACTAAAGATTTTTGTGTGTCGCTGTTTTAAAAGAGGAACATAACGAGAGTGGAACTTCCTCATTATATTATGTGCTTGTCAGGATTAAAGTGCTTCGAGCTGCGTATTCTTTCCGCGTATCGCTTTAAAAAGGAAAGAAAAGGCATTTCGCGCGTTTATTAATTCATTTATTACCTGAATAGTCAAACTAAGTAATGGATTGTCAACTACAACTGGATTCTGTTGGGAGCATTTGGTTCGGTAACTCTAAAGTTTCTTGAACTTTAGTGAAGATTAATTTCTCGGATCGCTCATTAAGGACGGATTTTCGGCATAATATCTATTCTCTTCTTAATACAACGGATGATATAGACTCAATTTTGTTAGCTGTTACGAAACATTTCGTATTTAGTGTTAATTTCAAAGGTGGAAGTGATTCTTTGGAAAGACCGTCGCATGCCTAATAATCGCACCTTCGATAATATCGGCGATCTAAAGTCCAATCGTAATAATAATTAAAACAAAAACACGTGTCTCCCGATAACTATGGCCGTTTTCTCGACCAACCGTGACCGGCAAGTGCATCTCTTTCTCGCGTACATTGTAAAACGACAGTGCGAGTCTTCAGGATTTAACTGGCATAAACAAGAGGATGGTACATTTGAGTAACGCAACCTGTCTGTCATCTTGACGGGAGCCGGCCTCATAATTTTCGAGGAAACTCCGTACGAACGTTACGACGGACAGGATACTTCGGATGTATTTGGATTAGGACGCTGGCAGGATTCGAAAAAACGGGATAAAATTAGTATGCATGGACGGATATTTTTGGATATAAGGATAAAAAAAAATATTGCCTGCGCTGCGTATTCATCGGATCGTGTTCGAGCGGATCACTCGGATTCATTAAGGGAACGATATGCGATGTGGAAGAATGATGGATTTGGAAGCATGATATCGTTCGCGCTTCATAGGGATTTGTCTCCTAGGTCGGATACGGGATTTGGAAACTTGTGTTTAGCGGGATCAATTGACAAGATAATTGGATGTCATTTTTCTCACGGATGAGATGAAAAGTGGATGAGATGGTGGCTTGCCGTAAGGTATTTGTGCAAACAGTTTATACCTGAGATACTATCGATATTTATTTCTGCATGCTCTCTTCGAAAATATTCTTATATTCGTATTTTCATTTTTGTCACCAACAAGGCAAACGCAACTTATTGTTAGTAACACGCAATACAAAGCCTGCCTCGATAAAAAGTCAGATTTGCATTAATAATCGATCCTTCCTGTGTTCCGCTTCATTCTCATTGTTGTGAAATTTGTCGTGCATAACTCGCGAGACAGATCTCGCAACAATAACTAGTTGATAACAATTCTGCCTTTTTTTTTTTCGTTCAATTAACATCACAGATAAGTATATTCTTAATATTTTATGTGTTATTTCTGTGTTACCTGTAATATACATATAATATTGTTCTTCTATAGTTAATTGTTATACAACCATGTGTAGCAATAAGAATACATATATGAATAGCGTCGAATCTACAACGGTCTCACAGTGTGTACTTGTCCACAGATATTTGAAATACGATTGTTAAAATTGGTAGTGACAGTTTCTCTATTGCGCATATTTTCTTGTATATTACGTACAAACTTATTATCTGCTATACATAGATAATTTTATTGATCCGTGTATTGTACATACCCAAGTATTTTCTGCGTTGTACAGGACGTACGATTTAGGATGTACCTCACAACTAGGCACTAAATATAACACCGATTGCTTCACACCTTCATTAAACAGGATTCTCCTAACGTGCCACTTCTTTGCAATTCTTTCTCTTAACAAAGTACCCTCCTCTCACAATTCTTGTGGATTATTAAACTGGCAAATGGGATGATTAATTAAAAGAATAAATATGTCTAGCACGATATTGTTTTATACAATTTTTCCTTCAATTCTCGCCTGCCAACGGATCTATTTTGAAGCGGTGTCACGCGTTTAAGGTACGAACTCAGTGGGCTTGTAAATAAAGAAAGTCATGCCATGTTCTTTTCGAGTAAGTATTTTATTATACTTGTTGAAATTTTGATTGTATCGTTCGCTTGGTTCGCCTTATTAGCACACAATAGTCGTCTCTTCCAAGTTCAAAGCTACCAAATTAAGCACGTATGCATATGGAAGTCTTTAAAAGATAATTGTATTTATTATGTGCTTATTTATAATAAGAAATTTATACAAAAGTATCGAAAAGTTAACGTATTAATGATTAACAATCAGAAAGTCGTTTACAATGTAAAAGGAATAGAATCCATTTAGGCACATTTTTTCTTGTATTTGACATACATAATAAGTATATATTTAGAATTTGAAGCAGAGAGAGAAATAAGAAGTGCAGAAAGTGACGTTGAAGAGAATAAATTCATAAAATATGCGTGGAAGTTTCAAAGAATCGTGAAGATGATCAATATGCAAAAGTATATAACCAATTGTGATATTCATTAAAATCTTGCTACTTGTACATGATATTGTCGATAATAATATACAAAGTCAGTCTGTTAAGAAGGGGATTAATGTAACAAATTCGTACACATATTTAAAAATTGCCAATGCTTTATTTGATTTGCCACTATACGCGCTCGAAATATTACAATGTTCATCGTAGACAACGATTTTGTCCGGTGCTAGCTCAAATAATCTCACGAATGGGCGTAATAATGAGGTCCTTAATAAGCACGTTCTCCGGAGTCTGCAACGAGTAGAGAATAGCGTCCACCACGTCTTTCGGTTTCAGGGCCAATCGTGAATTTTCCTTCAGCCACTGCTGGGTGATCTCGGTCTCCACCAAGCCCGGGCAGATGCTCTGCTCCGCGAGAAAGTAAATCGTGTTAATAGAAAGAAAAGTTTGCTAAGCAATTTTTTAGCCGTGTCTTTCACCGAAATACTTTTCACTTCTTTTTTAAAGAGAAATTATTACTTTTAGACAATAACTTTCTTAATATTCTACTTTGAATGTTCGTCACTTCGCCCGCAAGAATTTGGGAAAGACCAAACTTTCAGCGATGCAAGGTGCAACGTTATGATATCACAATTTGAAGTAGTTGTAACTCTTTACTGTACATTGGAACAATAAGATTGATTCTTTATATATAACTGTGCTTAATAAATTCGTTACGGTGCGGCTCGAAGTCGCTTACGATCACTTTGATGTTGGACTGGTTCTGGGCCAATTCCAGACGAAGACAGTCGGTCAACGCGGTCAGCGCGGACTTGCTGCAGGCGTACGCCGGGGAGATCGGCCGGTCGGAGGCAAGAGGCAACCACTTCAGGCCGCATATGTCGTTGACGTTAACGATGCAGCCGTTATCGATCCCTAACATTATTTATACAGACATTAATCGGATCTAGATATAATTCTTCCTGATTTTCCTTGAAGTACCTACCCTTGTTCTTCATCAGCTGCAGAATCTTCTTGGTGATATAAGACAAGCCGAGCACATTGATGTCGAGAGTCTTCTTAAGCTCCTGTATGCCACCGTTGATGCCGGACCAATTTAGGCTGATGCTGGCGTTATTTATCAGAATGTCCACACTACCCACATTCTTCTCTATCCACTCCGACGCGGCCTCGATCTCGTTCGGAATGCTCAAGTCGCATTGAAGAGGACAGAGCTTGCCGGGCTTGCCCTTCAGCTCGTCCACGAGAATCTACGGAGATCAAGAGATAAATGACTAACTTATAAATATTCAGAGTTGGGAAAGTTACTTTATGAAAGTATCTAATTACAGTTACAGTTCTTTTGCTAAAAATGTAACTAGTTACAGCTACAAGTTACCAATTGTGAAAAGTAACGCGTCAGTTACAGTTGCTGAAAAAATAACGAATCGTTACTTTGCAGTTACTTTCTTGCAATGAAAATAAAACTGTCAAATCTGCATTCGAATTGTAAAGTGCCGATAAAGGCGTTTATGCGCAAATGCAAGACCTAATGTAATCTGTGGAGGTTTAAAAAATATATAAAGTAACTCTTAATGTAACTATTAAATTAGTTGCTAGTTGTCGAAAACATGCAACTGAGTTAAGTTACAGTTGCAGATGAAGAGAAAGTAACGAAGTTAAGTTAGAGATACCAAAAAAAGTAACTGTAACTTCCCAACCCTGTAAATATTATAGTAATTTTTAATACCATTTTTGTTAATTCGTCCATAACTTGGTTAATTGCATTTTTAATAGAGTTAAACGTACCTTCAGCTTGTTTATGTCGCTGGAGAGGCCGATGACTTTGAGTCCCTTCAGCACCAATTCCTCTACGATCGCCTTACCGATCTCGGAGCAGGCGCCGGTGACGACGGCGATCTTGTTCGACATAATATTCATACCGAAGGCTTTGCACTAGCTCACGTAAACGCGATGAAATTGCTGCTCGCTGCCACGAGAAGCTTCTGCATGCTGATCCGCATCCCTGACATCTTTTTATACCGCTGAAAATCTGGACCTCGATTAGGGGGTCGCGCATAATCTGGAAGTTCATTACTTTCTGGATGATGCATTCCCGCGTGGTTATTGCATATTATTCGCGATATTGCATTGTTTTCGGCGCGCAAGTCTCGCCGAGAGACTGGTGTTCTCCCATCTAAAATCTAGCGTGGTGCTCGCTCGCAGATAAAACGTATCGTCGTTGTTAAAATGCGTTCGCGGAAATATTGTTAATTGAAGTAGCAATTAGTTAAATGCGCATGTTTTATGCGATAGACAGTTAATGGTTTCATTTACGACATGTCTTGTAATCGTTCTTTATTTTTCCTTATCTAAATGTATGTGCAAATTCACATTTTAAATTTACTTGCGTAATGTTAAATTTTTATCATCTTTTTGTATTGTCTTCGATACTTTATATTAATAATTGGACACATACAGCGCCAGTGACAAGACTACAAAAATAAAAATAAATTTAGCGTCAGCGTTTAAGGGTCAGCTAATTAATGTCCAATCTTGAAACGGTATATCTTCTCCAGTTTGTAATAAAAATAACACGAGACCGGGGATGCTGACGAAAATTCGCGCGAAGATTTCCGAAGAGGACGATAAGACGTTCCGCGGCAGTTGCGCTAGGAGTGTTGCGTCAGAAGTTTCAGAGACCGTGAAGAATCTCTCGCGAATCAGTCGACGACCCGGTCTATCGGCAAGTCTGTATGCAAAGTTCCGTGCGGTTCGACAAGAAGATTCTTCGGAATGGATGGACCACTGTTCTCAGCAATCGAAAATCACAGTCAGAGTTTGGGACACTGAAGATGCATTGTCAATGGAGTGTAGCGACGACATCGTCATCTGGGACTCCAAGGCCCGGTTTTACAAACGTCGCTTAACTTTAATCTTAGTTCAATTCATGTTTGTCTCTTTCTAGAGTAACAGTTGGAAAGAGACAAAGAACGAATTAAGCTAAGCTTAAAGTTGAGCGACGTTGGTGAAACCGGGCCTTACTAACACGAGCGGATCTTTCGATCGGTCTGACACGAAAAGAAGAGGCGTGAGTGCTTTATTATTGACCTGATGAAAAGCTCACAAAAAGTACAATCACTTATATTTAACATCTCGTATATAATTAATTGTGTAATATATAATCACTTTGAAGTTCGGTCACCACGATTCGCCCAAAGGTCTCAACACGACATCCTGTATCTATAACAAGAAGAAAATATTGCTCGTTTAGATTTTATTTTGTACGACGAGAGCGGGGAGGAGGGGAACGTGTTTAGAGTTTTAGAGATCTATGTACCAGAACATGAGACGGATTGGACAACACATAAACCGCCGCCGCCGCGACGTCGTCCGGACTCAAGGTCGGCGCTGCCACCATCGCTTCCGGGGAGAATGTGCTATAGGACGCCATAAACTCTGTCGCGACCAAACCGGGACTGATGTTCTGCGTGTGATAGAAATATAATTAAACACGGCTCAGCTTTAAATATACACCTTTCAATCGTCGTATTGAATTGGCCAGAATAATTCTTAATTAGTGAATGTAATACAAAAACAAGAAAAAAAACCGTATAATATAATTCGACGTTACAGGTGACTGTAATAATAGAAGAAGACAAATTATTCAAGACATCGAGGTTTTAACATCAAGGAGGAAAACTGAAGGACGTTTAATCAACGGTTAAGTTTTCAGATTTTTACTTATTAATATTATAATCAGTCTTACCGTAACGCGTATACGCGTGCCCGCGAGCTCGTGTCGCAATGTCATGGCGAGGCCGGTGATGGCACGCTTCGATGCCGGATACACGCTGAATCCCGGGACGAAGGGCACCCTTTCGGCGGCCAAACTATTCACGTGAATCACGACGGCATCCTCGGCCGCCGTCTCCCGCATCATGCGTACAGCCTCGCGCGTGCAGAGACAGAGTCCCAGGACGTTCACGTCAAACACGGATCGCCAGTCCTCCAAAGTACCATCTATAAACGTATTGAAATTATTGGGTCATCTTACAAGTGCGGTTTTTTAAAGATATATTTTTGAAATAAAATTTAAAAAATTGACATTCCAACTCTAACCCGCTCAAAAATTTGTCATGCACGAGCATGCCTAAACATACAGTATTGTATCAAATTATACAGAAAATATGTCCGTACAAACTTTACATTGTATATTTCTATATAATTCTATACGATTCTACACAGTTCTATATAATTTTATAGATTTAGACATGATTTTATATGAACCATTTTTAAAAGGAAAAATTGCTCATTTACAATTATATATAACTTCGTACAATTGTACACAATTATATATAATTATAAATAAGCAATTTTTCCATATAAGAACATGTATAAAATTAGACATACCGATTAGACAAAAGGGTACAAGGAAAATTTCTTCAGACCAGAGGAATTTAAATTGTGCGAGATTCTTGTAAAATTAACCATCTAATAATTTAAATTGAAAGATTGTGTACCTATGAGCGAGGATTCTTTGATGATGCCGGCGCTGTTGACAAGAACGCTTATCGGTCCGAGATTACCCTTCACCCGTGCAAAAGCCGCGGCTACGCTTTCCTCCTCGGTGACATCGCATTCCACGGGATAGAGCTTCCCCGAGGAATCCTTCAAGCTGTCAGCGATTTCTTTAACTTTCTCCACTCTCCTCGCGAAGCCCGCCACTATCATACCTGACATAATAAAACGATCGTATCACGAACTTCGTACTACGTTAATTCGGATGAATGTTTTTACATTCTATAATTCCCTGGTAAGACAACGTGACATTTTACAGGCATTTAAATTTCAAATAGCGTATCAGTATCTTGTTTTTATTCGACTATAACAGTGATTATACTTTCCAGTTAAAAGACAATACGACGACAATTGTCTCCCCAGCGAGAAATGATTCGTCAATTTGACGGTGTTGGTGTCGATTCGACATCGATCGACGAATCATTTCTCACTGAATCCATACGCGTCGAGAGAAGTCCAATTTCTTGTCCAGTCAGAAGTAAATTTCAATGCAATATTTTTTGTAATTGTAACCCTTTCTCTCACCTTGTTTAACGAAACTTCGCGCGATCGCTGCACCGATTCCGGCGCTGGCACCGGTTACCACGGCCACCTTTCCAGCCCATCGCTCCATCCTCGTGCAGCGAGATACGAGACGCGACTAATCCAGAAGCCTTCGGCAATGAGATCGCGTTTACAAGTTCCAGATATTGATACGTAAAGAGAGGATGACAGACGTGTGATCAGGTACGAAATCCGATAGTCCTCGCGACTGACCACTGCCTGGCCTCGATCAGATGCAATTACACCTGTTTATTAGATGAAATCTCGGCCTTCTCAAATAAAATAAAAGATCGAATTTTGCAGAGACAATAATTTCTCGTGCAATAATAATTACAGAGGTTTTAGTTATAAATTTTTCGAAACACCAATTAGATTTCGCTTAAATTCGATCGAAGATCATTATTGCCGTAATACGCGAGGTGCTTTCTGCCATCGTTTTAAGCGCGTCTCGAGGTCGATATACAAGAGCACTTGTCAATTAAGCTTAACGAATAGTTGACAATATAATTACGAGGTCACACGTGTCCACGTACGTCGCCTGTAATTGTTTATTGAACGACATCGTCGTATAAATTGCGCTCGGATTTACTGGGAATTTACGTTCAGTGCGAATATGTTCCGCTGAAACTTCGAGTTACACTTATTGCAAATCGCAATGGTGGCGGTAAATAAGTATCACTCAATTCCGATTTGGCTACAAGTATATTTTGGGCGTAAGGCGTCTACATGGATGAGTACTATACAATGCGAGGTATTAATTTCTCTCCTAGAGGTCTAAAGTTTTCTTTATCGCATAACCGTGATATATTTCGAAATGATAATGATCGATCGACGTGTCGAACTTCTAAACATCGGGACTTAGGCAGACAAACTTGGTACAAAGGATCGCGCGTGTATATCTTCTTTTTATTTTTTTTTATTTTTTATTTTTTTAGATGTTTAGAAGAGAACGTGTCGTCCCTCTTTCTCTCACTCTTAAAAAACGCACCTCTCTCTAACTCAACCGACGAACGAGATCTAACAATGTATAGTCGTATTAAAAGACGAGAACTAAAACGGGGGGGGGGGGGTATTCATGCCTTTGCTCTCTCGCGCCGCTCGCTACACCGCCAATTGTTATATTTACAAATCCTATCCCTTTTTACAAATATCTATATCGCCTCTTATACGTTGCAAGAAAATATATCATTTCTTCTCGTGTAGAGATACGCTACGTTTACTTCGCGCTGAGCTCGCGACTATAAGTTTACACCTTCCTCCCTAAGCTGGTCATTGCTGTTCATCTACGCGACGCGTATTCAACGTGACGGAATAATCGAGGAATACATGTGGCCAGGGGGGGAATATAATCAATTTCCGTGAGAAACATTGCTTCGCACTTGGTGCCAATTCCGATTGTCCGGCTTGAAACCGCGATCTCGTTATGTTTTTCCGCTGCCTCCGCGCCTAACAAAATTTACAACAATAACACGCGTCTAAACCGAAATCTCGCACGAGTCGTGGGAAAGCGCAGAAGATACGAATTTTCACAGCGTTTCAGAGCTGCTGTCTCAGATGTTTCTTTGATATTGTACAGTTACATTATATTATATATAGAAAGTCTATTTCTTGGGGAGGGGGGGGGACATTACATGTGCCCTAACGAGCGCTCTACGAGCTATCGAGAGATCTTTCTTCTTCCGTTACTCGAAACCGTACAAAATAGTGACCATTTGCTCGAGACATCGAGATAGTACGTTTTTCTATACATCCTATACACACGACAGTTTTCGCTAGCGTCTCACGTACACGCTGTATATAAACGAAATAGATGGAAATCACTGATTAGACTCAATTGCAGACGAGTAAAGAAAAGAGACGCACAGCGAACGAATGGAGAGCTATCGTTATCTACGCTTCATTGTTTCATTGCGAGAGAGGCCCCGAGCGTGCTAAAAGACGACATCGGTAATCAAAGGTCAGCGAGGAACTCGCAATTTGACGTTCGTCGACCGCCTGCTCCGACTCTATACACGAGCTAAAATTAATCTCTTGCCCTTCCGAATCGCGGACGACCGTAATCTCTCTTTCTCCCCGTGTCGTGACGCATTCATATAAAATTGCACCGCCAATTACGCGTAATTATTGTATTTAATTGCTTTAGGTGACGCGTGCACGTGCGCCCACGTGCACGGACGAATACAACAATACCACAACTATCACATCGACGCAGGCCTACGTAATAAAAACTCGCGCCGCAAAAGTCCAATATTTAACGAATTAAGCTAAGGATAGATATTGATTTCTTTTTTTTTCCTCATTTTTAGGTTTACGGCTTTTCGCAATAATTACATTCCCGCGGAAGAGGAAAGAACGTTGGCGAGTCTGAAGAGAGAGAGTGAAGTCAAACGAAACCGGGACTCGTCCTTCTTGTCTCACGAATCGTCAAACAGAATGCGCTCCGAAAAAGAGAGATAGCACACTCATACCCAGGGTAGGCAGGCGTAAGGGGCGCAACTATTCTTGTCGTGGATGCTAACGAAGGGAAGCGAGGGTCGTTGCCTGTGTCAGTGTTGACGAGGATGAGGGTCCAACTGCGTGTTTCTGTGCGGTGTTACATTACTCGGTTGTGATTGCTCCTGCCTGTGTTGCTGATATCGGATTTGTTGCTGCTGTTGTTGAAGCTGCAGCTGCTGCTGCTGCTGCTGCAGTTGGTGCTGGCGCTGTTGATGCGAGGTGTGCTGTGGTTGTTGTTGCGATTGCGATTGTGGCTGTTGCTGCTGCTGCTGTTGTAGTTGGTGCTGGCGTTGTTGATGCGGAGTGTGCTGCGATTGCTGTTGCGGTTGCTGCTGCGGTTGCGGTTGCGGTTGCTGTGGCGGTTGCTGCTGCGGTTGCTGTTGCAGTTGCAATTGTGGCTGTTGTTGCTGCTGCTGCTGCTGCTGCTGGCTGCCCTGTTGTTTTCGTTGTTCTGTGCCAGCCGCCACGTAAGAAAATACGCAGAGAACAGCGTAGCATATATCAGATGCCTACGAATAAAGAGGTATTTCACGTGGTGTATATATAAATTATTTGTGTATTTTTATTACAAGTTTTGATATTAAATCGTTAGAAATCAAAATGTCAAATTTTATCGAGAAACAAATTTTACTATTTTTTCTTTACTTTTAATTTTGTGTGAGGGTGTACATAGAAAATATGTGTGTGTAAATTAAATTTTAAATCACTTGAAACTTGAATTTTGTTCAGAAACGACAATTTGGAAATTGTAAACATTGTCTTCTTAACATAACTGAAATTAACATAACGAAAATGTATTAAAAACATAAAGAAAGACTTACGTGAGGTGCAAGAAAGGAAAAAACTTAAAGATAAGCCTCATGCGGTGTCATTTCCGCACTTATGTTTCTGATGAGTCTCCAATGGGAGTTTATTAAGGGTAAATTCGATGGAAAATATTCTATGCAAGCTTCGAACCGCCTCTTCAGCCTGTCACACAGTATATGGCTATAGAAACGATAAGTATGAACATTGAAAGTAATAAAATGTCTATTATCCTCGACTCTTTTTTTGAATGTAATTAATTAAATATAAAACTTTGTAACTCATTAACATTTTACTCTAAATGCACTAAGTTGTTGTAAAATTTTTGAAAAAATTATTGTATTTCGTATATAAAATAAATATTTTATTCAGTTAAAGTAAGGATAGCTTTAATGGCATTAAAGTATTATCTTGTTTTATAATAAAGCGGACATTTTATTACTCTTTTCTCGTATATCGTACGGCAGATATATTCTATTCCGGCAGTAAGGAGCTCTGGAACACATCTACTCACCATTTGCGACTTATATTTACGTTGAATTACTTTTCTAGTTTTAGGATCTGAAACAGAAAGGCGTTCGATGACGTTCCGACATTCAAAGATTCGAAAGCTATATTGCAGCGTAAGCAGAGTGTCAGAGTATCGTTAATTAGTTAATTAATTTCTTCTTTTTTTTCATGAGATATCTATACGGCGTGTAAAAGCGTATGGTAATCGATGCAGTATTCGATGATGTCACTTACTGAATTCTTCCAAAACAAAGATTCCATCCTTTTGAGTAAAGCACTTGCGGATATGATCGAGTCTTACAAAAAACTGCAAATAACACAATCATTTTGCGTTAGTGGTCTGCGCATCGCGCGTCATGGTTCTGGATCTACTCGATCATGCACACGATTCTGACGACTTTCTCTATTTGCCTATCATTATCATATGCGTCGATATAGCAATATCGGTTATGTGTGCGAACAGCTTTCTAAGAGAGGCGTGAAAATGTATCGTGATGCTCGCTCGACGATAAGCGTCTGTTTCCACCCTTCGAGCGCTAACTCGCATCTCTGGTCAATTAATAATTCTCAGCTACATTTTATTCTTACTTTAATTATTAAAATTGCTCCTATGTTATTGTATTATTTATTAATTTTTATTACTGTTGTTTCCGTCGTTTTCAAGTAAATTTACAAAATGTAAAAGTGAAAAATTCTTTATCGTACAGTTGAACATCTTCTTACTACGAACGTTTTTTTTTTAATTGAAAATCTAGACGCGCTCGAAGGTTTTCTGCAAAAGGTGTGTTTCGCGTATTGTCCGTTTTAATCGATGCACGTCACTATACAGAGAATGACAATTATGCAAACTGCTTACAATTATACATTTTTCTCTTACAATCTTTTCGACTTCCGACAACCATCGTCTTAATGCGATCCGATTTTTAACGTAAAGATTGGCGCATTACTTTTTATCGACGATTCATTCGTGGTGTAATAACTCGCGTGACGTGCATCGGACACAAGTCACCGATAGAATTTCTAACAATTATAATTATTACCGCTGTCATCAGTACATGCTGTTTACACAATAATTAAATATAATTCACACTCGATTAGATGCGAAGCGATGCTCTTGTACTCTAACATTGTTGCGACGAGATGTCATTGTTTCTTCAGGTTTTTTTTCCGGAAACAGTGAGAATACATGCTTTTTTATTTAAAAAACGCATACTTATCTCAAAGTGACTTCAGCTTAAAGATATCATTTTCTCCGCGTGCGAAACGAAACGATTCAAGTCTAGCAGAGATCTTTATCTTGCACATTGAAACCCGCGTGCCTCGAGCATCAGATTATTTTAACGTTTCAGCATTTTGAGAGAACTTTATACTCCCGAGCGAATCGTAAAGATTATCTCGCGGCGGCGATGTCCGTGTGACGAACACTGAGAATCGCGTGGTACGTGGAATATCACGGGTATCGTGTTTAATGAGTAATGCTGAAATAGAAATATATCCATTACACGTGCAAAAAAAGTGTAGGCATACTCGTAAACGAGAGAAACGAAATCGGGAGGGGCCTCAAAACCCTATGGACATTTTTACATGCAGCATACACAGGCCTCTCGGGACAGCCGTACAACGATATATGTCTCGCAACAGCATGCTCAGTCATGCCTAACGACTGGGTCCACACCTCGATCGCGAACTCAGCCGCGAACAACGGCGTGTGTATTGTCACACACTCAATCCTTGCAAGACTGTTCAATTTTTGAAGAACGCCCCGAGGAAAAAAGCTATATATCCAATTTTATCTAATTGTCTCACATAATGTCAGATGCGACAAAATTTCATCAGATTATATCCAAATTTTAAGGCGTCTATTTATGAGTATATCAAATCAGATGTGGTCAGAAATAGTCAGATAAAACGGTGTAGACATCTGACTTATAAATGGATGCATTAAAATTTGGATATAATCTGATCGAATCTCATCATATCTGACATTTTTGATACAATTAAATAAAATTGGATATATGTCTTTTCCCCAGGACGTCTTCCCTTGGGAAAATTTACTTTAAACGAAATTAAAGCTTTCAAACGTAATCTTTCACAAATCTAAGAATTTACTTGAAGAAGTTGTTGACTTAAGAAATTTTAGAGTAATTGTGGACACTTAAAGTAACTTTTAGACAGCCAAGCTTATCGAAATTCCCGCGCGGCATGGCACTTTCTCGTAAGAAGAAAAACGCACGCGGTGTTACAAATTATACCACATACTTTTCGCAACTCTTATAGCTTTCTTTTAAATCCTTAAAGTAAGATAATGATGTTAAGTGTCCAACTTTACTGTTCATATTTTTTATTTTTCTAAAGTAAAATCTCAAGGTTTTCCATGGTGTATTTTCCCAAGGGTCACTTCTGCGAAAATAAGACCCATTCGGCACGCAGAATCTTGCGGCAATATTGCAACAACGTTGCCGTTCTTTAGCTACGCAGAAAAACGTAGTTAACAATTGTCTTGAACGAATAACACGAGCGGCTAACGTGAGCGACAAAGAAAGCGCGAGTGTATCACGACTGAATTTTGTGTAAGAACAGCTTTGTCTACTCGGGACATTTTTTTCTTATTCAATTGCCGAGTTCTGCGAAGACGAATCCTCGGTGTCAAGGGCCGAAGCGACGCTCAATCGATCCCGGGGATCTATTCTACGAGAAGAATAAAGTCTACCAAAGACACCATGCATCATTCAGCAGTCGCGTGGCAATCTCGACAATTGGCAAGTTTCAAGCAAGAATCTAGCGATGGCAGCGGCAAACAGCGGCAAACAGCGGCGACATCGGCAGCAACAGCAGCAGCAGCAGCAGCAATGTCAGCGATATATAGCGGCAGGCGTAATAGCGGCAGGCAACTCTGGAGATGGCCTAAACTCAATTGTAAAATGTCACTGATTGCTTAGCGTCGGAGAGTTGCTAAAATGTGCAATTGTATCATCTAATACAGACCGGCGGACGTGATACGATCGACAATGATGCACGGTCGTGATATATATATTATATCAATTATGGGGGGGTTGTGAGAGAGAGAGAGAGAGAGAGAGAGAAAGATCGAGAAGATGGGGGTAGGGAGTATGACGATAACAAATAAATTCACTTCTCAAAGAGTGAATCGGTACGATATCGGAGTCGGTACAATGTCGTAAACAAGAAAACATTATGTCAGCGGTGTGCCATGCCAGAGAAGTGTAATAATATCGTGGCGAGAAGGTCGAGACTCGCAGTCTTCACGACGTTTTCTTCTCTCGTAGAGGGGGTGGTCGACTCCTGTTCGCAATAAACACGTTAGACGATCACTAGACAGCACGTGGGACCATTGCTCTACTACATGACTACCAGTGTAAAATGAGTGGATTCCGAGCGATGTACGTGTCGCGATTGTGTTACTCGATCGTTCATTATTTAGCGCACTTCGTGCGCGCCGCATGACTTTTCGGGAGGCCTATCGAGAATCTGGAGCTTCAAACAGTCACGCCAGCATCGGCTTCGCGAGCGAACGTTCCGTTATTCTTCCCCTTGGAGTCGCTCGAATCCCCTCGCGAGCGATTATCCGGACCGAGTTATGCGAAAATCGGCCGAGGGAATAATTTTCGACGTGTCGAGTCTTTCGTCTCTTTTCGTACTGTGGTTTTGCGCAATTTGCCTTCTTTAATGTATCCCTGCGTAATATATCATCCACATCTGCGAACGACCCTTCGATATCTTTACACGCAGTGCACACCTCTCTTGAAATACTACCCCCCGATTTCACGAGAAATGTCCACTGCATAAATAAGGGCAGTGTCGTGAGACGCACAGCAAAAACGGCTCGCATCCCAAAATCTCACGCAAAGTGGCTACAAACTGGTCGTGTTCTACAGCCCACAGATCCGACACTCTCACGCATTAACGCTCTATTTGCGATCTACATTTCGCAAGATCTCATCCAACTGAAGGTCACGTATAAATAAAGGAAAAAAAAGAGAGAGAGAGAACGGAGGAGTTTTCACTTTTCCGGAGAGACTTTTCGTACAGAGACAGATTGCCGGGATCTTTCAGTCATCGAGCCCTGACGAAATTGACAGCGCGATACTTTTTATCACGACTCGAACGTGTCGGGCAAACTGATAGCGGCAATTTCGTTCGTAAAAAGAGAGAGAGAGAGAGAAGAAACCAATTTCTCGAAGAGCTTTCTCAGTTGCCGACCGAGAGACACGGTGTGTAAAACGTGAAAGCTGTAAATGATGATCGTGACGCAATGACTTGGTGTACGGACTTTCATGTACGAGTGATTAGGCTATATAGATATATATATATAGTTGCATTGTGTGTGCATCGAACATCGCTCTCTACAAGTTGCACTAAACACTACTTACAAATATCTCATCTAAACGATATACAATATATAAAGTATATTGTGTCGGACTTTCGATCAATGCGGCAAACACTGTTCTGCATTTCATCGTTCATTACTGGATACCTGGAGAGGTATCGGCTTTACGATATATGTGTATAATATCGTAACGGAGAGATACATATGCGTGTATATATATATTACAACTAACACCGATCGATCGTAGAAAAAACAGTAAGGATAGACAGAGCAGATCAGTGAGTTCGAATGCAATTTAAGAATGTAGGTAGATATATATATAGTATAACGGTATATATAATAATAATATATATATACGGCCAAAAGTAATGGTGAAAATAAATAAGCATCTCCGGAACACGGCCAACATTGAGTATATAGTCATATACTGAATTTATATAACAAACAATGACTTATTTTGATTTGATACCTCGAAATCCTGTTTGCCCAGCCGCGGGGCAATGTCGATGGACGGGACAAGAAAACAGAAAACAGAAAAACAGAAAATTAAAACCCTTGGTAACAGCAGTTATCCACTCAGTCATAGAATATAGCATATACATGTGTATATATGTAATAGAAAGAGAGAGAGAAGAGAGATACAGCTGTACACGATGATATTACAGCTACGCTTTTTATCACCTAACGTCATGGCCAAATCGTTAAACAGCAAGGTATATATATTCATTGTTCAAGGACCATCTCAAAAGTTCCCCAAGCTGAGAAAAGTCTATCATCTCCGATCACCCGCAATCGGCTGCCCGTGCAATCCCGGGCGTGATATCCCACGGGTAATCTCGTCACTTCGCGCGAGATTCGAGGCGTTTTATCGCGGTGGAGCAAGTGGCCGGGTAAACAGCGATTATTTGCGCGGCGCTCGCGACTATCGGTTGCATCACCTTCTTTTTCTCTTCTTCAACTTTTTCTTTGCCTTTCTTTTTATTTTTCTCTCGTCTCGTGCCGCGAATAGACTTTCCTCGCGCATGACCACGACAGATAAAGAAGTTGTTAGACTTATGGAAAAAATATAATAGCATCCAACATTCAATACAAATGATAAGATATAGGAGTATAGTGTTCAAAAGACAGTCTGTATATATACCGCCCTATACCTTATTTCCTATGTATATATATAAATAAAGAAATGTAATGATATATAAATATATAATATATATATATAATTATATATAATACAGATAAAAGAGTCTGCAACTGCACATCGAGCTTCCATGCAAGAAAACATTGATTAATATAACGCCTGAACACAATATTATCCAGTAAAAATAACCGAGAGGATGTCGTAGCTGTACGAAATTGTGCCGAGTACGCTTCGCGCCGGAACGATCGCGATTAAACGGAGCTCTTGATTAACGACAAGCAGAACGACTGTTGTTCTCGTCGAAGAACCGTATGTGCACGTGTGCGACGCGTTATACGTGTGTATGTGTATGCACCTAGCTCGGACATAGTCCCCGATTCCTAATAAGATCCGCTCGCTGCGCTCGTTGGCGTTAATATCTCAGGCCGGTATTCAAAGACAGTTCTTATATACCGAGTATCTAAAGATGATCTTACGACGATCGTAAACATGTATAAGTACTGCCCTCAATTTTCATTCTTTTTCACTTGCACCGAAATACCCTGAATATCTTTGCCAAAAACAAAAGAAGATTGAGAATTTCTTGAGACAAATGGACCGTATTTCAAAATGCGCACGAAAGGCTGTCTCGTATCGAGCGTGCTTCCTCTTTTAACTAAAGATTCGATTGGATAAATTTCAAGCCAATTTCTCGTTGTTACTTTTTATGGGGATACAAATTTTTTACTATTTCTTCACATTCTCCATGTTAGATACCTCAACGACCCTAGGCTTGAGAATTACATCAAGATAAAAATATGATCTAGTCGTGATTGGATCATGTTTAACAGAATCTGGCGAGTTTGCGGGAAATGTTCCATTGTCTGACGCGGACAATTAAAAGAAATAGCGCATTGATACCTTTGCAACGGAAAATTGACTCGTCAGCGAGCAAAGAGAACTCACGCGGTTAAAAGTAAAGCACGATCGATCAGCGGCGTTCCCGTAAATGCGCTATACCGCGTAATTATGCTGTTTCCTTCTCGAGAGAAAAGTGTAAGATGTGTATTTCTATATCTCTTCATCTCTTCCCTTACGGAAAAAAACACACTCAAGTTTCGAGTGTTAACACTCGACTGTCCGAATTTACTCTCAAATTTGGGTGTAAACATCCAGATTAAAATATTTGAGAGTAAATTCGGACAATCGAGTATTAACACTCAAAACTCGAGTGTTTTTTTCCGCAAGGGTTCCGTGGAATCTCTTCCGCTTATAATCGCCGATTTGTGTCGTTGCGAGTACGCGCGGGTACGAATCTTCGCGGGTCTCCTCGCGTCAACTACAGATAAGAAATCCTGGCGTCGCAGGGTTTTTCTCGCGGATTTTTTGGAAAAACGTCGAAATATCGGGTCGAATGTTCGCCGGTCAAGTCAGCCTGACTTGTCTTACCACATGGACGCATATCGTGATGAATCACAAAGATACAAATCAATTAAGCAGATCGTAGTGGCTAGCAGTGGGAGATAATATTGAGTGGTCCTTGCATCAATGCAATAATGAAAAAAAAAACACAGAGAAAGAGAGAATACTCGATGATCGAGAGAACGTGAATGATAAAAAGACAGTGGTTAAACGACGACGAGATTTCCTATTCAATTTCAACGCTGCACCGCGTTCTTGCGTTTGCCGTTTCCTTTTTTTTCTATTTCTTTTTCGTATCGTATCTAATCAATGCCCCATTTAATATCGTGCGACGTTACGAGACGAGTATCGGGGCTGGGCATTAATGTCACCTCAGACCGCGATCGCGATCATTGAGCCGGGACAAAGGATATCTTTTTTAGTTTTCTTTGCAAATCAAAGTCAGTCTCGTGGTAGCGTAATACATTCTCTAACGTATGTTCAATCTTGCTGAAATAAAGGCATTATTATACGCATTGACACGTCGGTAAGAGGTAAACGATACAGCATCGGTAGCCAGAGGGGGACGCAACGTTATATAATCGAGACGTAGTACGGTATAACGAAGGGTGTTATTAATCTTCAAATTAAAGTTCCCAATAAATATATACGATCCAACATGACACAAACAATTGAACGTAGAATGTAAGAGGGATATATAGATATATGCGCAATCCTCGAAAGAGAGATAGAGAGAAAGAGAGAGAGAGAGAAGAAATGAGAAGGAGAGCCGAGCTCTCGATTCTTCCCGATAACAGAGCGTAAGAAGTGTGTGGCTTTCACGCGAGTGCGAGTCATACCTTGCTGTTCGCGAAGAGGAGGCCGACGCCCTCCATGCAGACCTGCAGAAGCCCGCCCTCGCCCGTTCGCATATCCTGCACCGGAAACTCACCACCGAGCTCGTAGCCCACGTTCGTGCCTCGCCCGCGGGCTGCCGCCTTCTCCATCGCGTCCTTAATGCAGTAGTACACGTCCTTACACTGGAAGAAACGATCGTTGACGTTTAGCGTCGAAGATCAACTTGGAATCCACGAAATTCTCGCCCCCGCAAAACATAGGATTGTACCATCCGAAACTTTGCGAGATTAACGTTCGTTTCTACCAATGCAGATCAACTTTTATCTCGGTTCAACTTAGTTCTTACCCTTTTTCGAGTTCTGAGAATTAGGAAAAGGTAGAAAGTAAGTTAGACCGAGATTAAATGTAATCCGCATCGACAAAAATGGACATTGAGACTCTTGAGACTTTCTATCCAGGCTTCGGGCGAACTTTTGTTATGCGACAGAACGTAATGCCTCCACCTTTAATCTTCGTTTAATCCCTCGTTCGATCCTCCCGAGGATTCTCCCTACCTTCTTAGTGTAATACTTGTGTAACTCGGTGTCGCCGCCGCTCCTCCTCCACAAGCACAGAACCTTGTTCTTCGGGCTGTAGGTCATGTTGACCACGCGCTCGTACCACCAGCGCTCGACTATCACGCCGTTCACCGATCTCAGCACGAGGCCGTCGTGGCGGACCTCGAGGAACCGCAGATCACCCTCGGCGTCGACCCCCGAGTGCACGGTGAACGACTGCCGGTGCATTTGCCGGGACGTCAGGGGCTTCAGGTCGATGTCGTTTCCGAGCTGCGAGGCAGAAGAAGGCTCGCGTTCTTAGCGCGTCAGCGATTGCCGACCGGCCGGTCGCGACAGTGGACACTCACGAGGTTGTTTATTTGGTCGAGGAGCAGATTCAGCTCCTGGCTGTAGATGAGGCCGATGTGACTCTTGCCCAGCAGTCTGCGCACCTTCCGCTTCAGCTCGTTCTTCTCGACGTTCAGCATCACTAGGACGGCGGTGAGATTGTGCAGCAAAGTGCACAACAGCCTGTCCTCCTCGTGCTCCAACCGTCGCCTTTCGCTCTCGCTTAAGCTCTTGTATCTGCGTCGCGCACGCGATATTAATAGCGGTTTCTTATTTTTTGTTACATTTACGTACACGCGTATCAATTAATAATGTCAGGTGCAGTTTTTCAATTTCTAATTACGTCGTCTCTCAGATTTTCCTTGATTTCGACCTCATTTTCAATCGTTCATGCGTTATAGACGCCTCTCTCACCTCTCCACCATTTCTCCGGGTCCCTGGTCCATGCCCATCATGTCGCGTTCCTGCGAGACGGCGTCCAAGAAGGCGTCCTCCCAGAACTGCATCTCGTCCCACAGGGACGACCTCTCCTTCCCCAGTAGACCTGAATTTTGAGAACCGTAATGTGATAAAAAGTTGATAAAATGTACAAGCAAATCGTCAGCCTTTCATCGTTCGAATTGTCAACGGTGGCGATCGTGTCTTTTGTTAGATGCTTCTATAGACGTACCTTCAAAGAGATACGTTCTCGCAGCGTCCGGACTCGGTAACGTCGTGGTGGGTATCAAACTTCCGCCGTGATACCGGAATCCGGTGCTCAGGGACGACTTGCTGGACCAGACGCTGCCGGAACGCTGCTTGCCCTGCCGTGGAAACTGGAATCATAGAACCGCATAAGAATGAAGTTAATAGCGTTCTCCAAGGATAAGGATCTTTGATGAAGAACGATCAAGATTTTAATGAACCGGTAACATCCGAAACTACATCTGCTATTGACGTCCGTCGAGATTATGGCGATTAGAGCATTCCAACTAGTTAATTACGATGTCACCTTAAGATCAAAGGGTAACTTGTTCGCACGAGGAATCACGGCAGAAACCTAGTTACGTCACGAGCGGGATGTGCTGTTTTATTTTCATGTGACAGTAATTGAAATTGCGCGTCACTGTTGCCCTCCGATAACGGTTCTCCATGCGATCTGTCAGCGTCCATTCGTGTCTGATGAATGAATCGAGGTATCGGCGTGACTCGAGTGTTCCGAACTGCGGGAAGCTCTTGCCGCGCGAGGTGTAGACGCTACATATCCGAGTCGCGTTAAAAGGGCACGTTCCTAAAGGGCGCGTCGAACGTTTAATTCAATTCGAATTCGCTACGCGCGATTAACAGACAGTAGAGCGTCGCTGGGAATCTATTTAACGGGAATGGACGGCGTTACTAGCGTGTGTGCGTTCTCTACCAGATGTAATCTAACAACTATGTAAGATTATATTAATTCAAGATAATTTACATTGCCTTGCTCGACCTCGCTATCAGACACGGTGCTTCGGAAGGAAGCTTGGTGCGCTTGCCGAAAAGCAGGATTAGTGATAATGCTACCTCCGTCAGTGGATAAAGCTTCGCTGCTCCCCGTTCCACCACCCCGCCCACTCTAAAAAAACACATGACAAAACACGTGTGCGTTGCATGTAACAATATCGAAAATTGAGCATTTTTGTGATGTTTTCTTTCTTTCTTCGCGTTTACTTACTTAGCTTTACAATAATCGTTAAAGAAACTACAAGGCCGAATAAATTACATTGTCTAAAAGAAGAAAAGAAAACGAAGTGCTACTTGTCGTTTGCTCTAGGACGGGGGGAGGAGATGTACTTTTACTAGTTTCAACGATCATTGATCGCGCCTGCAGGATCATTGCGACACCCAAGTAGGACTACGGCAACCAACTTGAAACTCGAGCTTGAGATCTCGAAGTACGTTTGATATTGAATGGAAAAATTCTTTCTACCTCCGAGTCGAACGAGGTGAGCTTGCTTAAAAATTTCCCTTTCTTCGTGAATATGTCCAAAAACATGTCCGTTGTAGATTGGCTCGTGTCCCCCGCCGGCGGTGCCTCCAGATGCACTTGCGGCAAATCTAGTATTTGCAAAAATATTAATTACTAATTCACTTATAATTTATTTAACTTGTTGGCCTACGTTGTTTTCACATATTCTATGTCTTTTTCAAAGTTAACAAAGTTTACGTGAAATAATTGTACACGTTCATCGCAATGAATAATTGAAAGTTTTAATCGAAAATGTATCTCGAAAGCTGGAAATTGACGGCAACTTTTTTAACAACAGTGTGTTCAAAGACATACCCGATTTTTGCGTGATATCCATAAAGTCAGATGCATTCGGGGATTGCGGAGATTTCAGGTTTTCTCTGCTACCGAACGGGCTAGACGCCTGCGAGACAACACTCTCTCTCAACATTGAATATTAAATGTATATTACTTATACTATATAAAAAAATGGAATAAATATCAGGCAGATGAATTGTAAATTGTGCTACTTCAGAAGTGTGGAGAATCATACCTGCGACATCAAAGAGCTGTCGAAGCCGCTACCCTCGGATAGATCCTTGCTCCAGTAATGCGTGTGAGCGATTTCCATCATTTGGAAGACAGAAGCCATCCCGCCAAGTCCAAAATTATTATACGTATGTGCGAGACCGTGCGTTACTGCTTGAAGGCACTTTAACATTCCCTTATATACGGGCTTCGATATGGCCTGACAAGAAATTAAAACAGAAACATAAAGTAACCGAACGTTTCATCTGTCGAGGCGGGCCAATGTCAAGTAAGATTAGTAGGCTCTAGATGATTTCTAGATGTCGAATTAAGATACACTTGAAATTACCACATCGTCAATATGATCATTTGGACTGATCTTCCTATTAAGACCCTTGTTCAGCTTCGTCACGACCAAATCTCGATAATTTTCGTCTTCCATCAGCTTCTTCAATCTGTTCAACTTGAGCCAACCAACGCCTTCGCCGGCCAACACTTGCGTCACCACCTAGAAGTTCCGTCACGGGATCGTGAAATAAAGCACAATCGTCTTAGTCCTTTTTAATAATTAAGATAACATTTACGAATACTCGCATCATTTAAAAAGGCTTGATTGTCGCTATTTGTGCTGGAACGTTCCGCGTTTTGCATTCTCTGCGCGTCTTCTTGATTAACTTTATGTGTAGAATGTTTTATCAACGAAGATCGTTCCACCAATCCGGTTTTTCCTGTAACTAAAGATAAACCTCGAACTGAATGTTCTTTTCGGATGCAAAGACGTTAGTAGAAATGCCTCGATGTTATCGTTTACCTTTCGGAAATGGTCCGAGAATCGGATTTGTCTTCTCTTTCGATTTCTGATTCTGCGGGAAGAAGCTGCTGCCACGATTGGAATTATTTTTACTACCTGAAAATCAGACGCGATTTCGTTATTCTTTAAAACGCGCTATCTCTTTCTCCTCGATGTGCATACATTATCGATCTTTATGTGTGGTACGTAAATTTATATAATTTATTCATAACTAATAGTAATTAAATGCATGTAAAGTCCCCCAAAAGATAGATAAATAACAAACTATACGTCCGTTTTTTTAAAAAAACATTTTTTTACCCGAGAAATTAAATCTTTCAATAAAATCTACGACTCATACAAATTATATTACTATAAATACAGAATTAAAAAAATTATTAATGTCCCGTAGGCTAATAATTAAGTGAGATCATATCCGTACCGAATAAATCGCTGAACATGCTGCTGGTCTGCGCGGCGAAGCCGTTCAGATCGCTGCTAATATTGCTGAAAAAGTCCCGCCCGACGCCGCCTCGCGTGTCAGACGCGACCAGCTGATTGCTGACCGAATCCTTTCTCTGCTGCGCATTGGGAGATTGCGGACTGTGTACTGGCGATTGTTGCGACTCTCCGAGGCCCTGAACGCAAATTCGATCAGACAAACTTTAAAGATCAACGCAAAAAACTATTAAATCTGAGATCCTACTGAAGGTAAGCGTACCTTGAGCAACCCCTTCTTCGCGGCGACTTCTTTCGCACTTTTCGTCAAGTCTCCCAACGTGCTTTTGCCAACGTACGTCAGATCGTCCAACGTGTTCTTGCTGACACCCGCCGCGGTCTTGCTCGCCTCCAGCGCGGTTTTCGACACCTCTTGCACCGACTTGGTGGCCTCGCCCACCGCTTTCTTCGTCTGTTGCGTCAACTAATTGATTCGGAATAAAGAAGACAGACTAAGCATACATTTCGACTTTGTATAACGTCGTAAGTATAACGCTTCGCGCAAACATACTTGCTCCAGTGGCGCGAACAGACTATCTTCACCGGCCTCTGTAATTTTTTCCTTCGCCTGATGCTTCAGCTGCAACGAACAGTAAGTTAGATAAAGTAGCTGCTGTCGCATCCAGAGAACAAACAAATGGTAACGTCCGTTTTGATAAAACTGCACGAAGGAGTAACTAGATATCTTCACACTGCTTGCGGTACCTTGTCCATGTGTGCGAGTAGCCCGTCCTGGCTGCTCTGCCTGGTAGTCTCGCGCATCAAGTCCTTCGCCTGGCTGGCGATCTGCTCGAACAGGGAGCCCTGCGAGCCCTGCCGAAGAACACCGTTCCCGGTGGCGGTGGTGCTGCCGCCGCTGTTCTGCCGTTGTATCCCGCTGTCGTTGCCCTGTTTCGGCGTGATCGTCGGCCCCGCCGACGCCTGACGCTGCAGCTGCAGCGTCACCTCGTGATGATGATCGCCGGCGGTGACCGCGCTTATCTGCCGCGGCAGGAGGGGCCCGCCGGTGGTGCTGAAGCTGGCGGCCCTCGCCAGGACATTGCCGACGCTCGGCTGACGCTGCAGACCCGGTCCCGTGGGTGGTACCTGGAAAACAGTACGCGAGCGTTCGTGAGTGTCCTCTATCTTCGCGTAGAGATGGACAGTCCTCTTGGGAGGCGGTGAAGAAACCGGATGCGAGTCTTCTCTAATCCCGCGCGTCTCTGAAAGACCCTTTCTCTCGAGATTCAGAAAAATCAGTAGAAAAAATATATACTTGTGACGTTGCTTATTCTGGAAAATGTTATTATTAACAGATTGGCGATACGCAAGCTGTCGATAGAAAACGTTTAAGACACGCGAGATCAACGGTAGAAAGTACTCCGAGACTCTTGTAATAGAAACAGATGCCTTTTTCTGAAAGTATTACACATTAATCGACACAAAACGTACGAATACTTAGATCGTGGTCTTAAGATTCAAGGTATGAGGCAACAAAGTTAAGTCATGCTTCAGGAGGCAACACGTTGAAATAGCATAGATTCAGGTCTAGATAAAACAAGTTGTACCTGACGACACAAGTGGTAACTACGAGAAGAAGTCGTACTTTTCATTGTAATTTAAATAGTGCATCACATCTCTAGTGCATGTACGTACATGTATAATATATGTATATTGAAGATACCGATCGTGTTTCTATAATCATCTTAAACTTACAGTAATCGAACGTAAAATCGTGTACGTGTGCGTGGCAGCAAGATGAACAGATGTACATGTAAACGTATCTGTATATATGCTTCACGTACGTGTGTGCGATCGTATGAGAAAGAAACGTATAACATTACACAAGCATCAATATGCAATAACGCATCTTCAGGGGATTGAAAGAAAAAAGTGTGTGCGTCATATAATAAACCTTATTTCATGCTGAGAAGAAATGGTGCGAGGTACAGACTGAAGATCGGACAAATAGAGTTCACGCAATTACATTTAATGCCAGCTATGGGACGTGAATGGGGATTATTATGTTCGTGTTTCGAGGTGGCGGACATGCGAGGTACGCGGGTATCTCGAACGAACGATTATCGGGGAATAATCGTGAGACACGACGCATCCTTGAAATTAAAATGCAAATCAGGGCCGAGAAGCATCAACATTCTCCTCAAACAGTACTTTAAACGAGAAATACGAATAAGGGAAAAGGAGGTGAGAGAAAGAGACGGGGGCAAAAGCATTCCACACGTTCCCCGGAAATTCCCTCCGGTATCCCATTCGATTTCATTCTATCATGCATCCCCAAATGGTACCGAGGTGACACCCGAGGGGACAATCGAAAGTGACAGAAGTAAAGGTACATATGAAGATGACTCACAGGAGTGACATATTTACTGATACGCGAGGTCCTGTGAGGTGTGGTAGGACGTTCAGTGTCGTTGAGCGAAGATTGAGTGCCTAAAGATCCCATGCTTATCCCTGTGAACTGTCCTACCGAACTTTGTGCGCTCAGGATAGTGCGCGGTGTTATTGTCGACGCGGAGTCTGACTCAAAGCTACCACCCTCCTCTTTATCCTATAATCAAGCTATCCGTTAGCGCACACCGGAGATGCTACTTTGAGATTTACGCATAACGTAACGCTACGAAAGTATTTCGTAGGTATCGTATTTATGCACGAATCATTATTGTGCGCCGATTATGTAGAATTGAAAAGTATCTCTTGTTCGACGTATGTGAGAAGTCGTCAATGACATCATCTATTATTTTGTTACTGTGAAATTTGGATATCGCGCTACATGTTGTGGCACCAAGAGACTCACGTTACTTTTAAATTTTCTTTTAACTATGATGTCGTGCATGTGACATGATTTATGTCGTACGATGTAACCCATAATCACATAAGATATAAAATATTATTTAGCATATAGAAAGTAGTGCATATAATGGAAAGAGAAAGAAAGAAAAAAAACAGGAGGAGAGATCGCAGGAAGGGCTTGCGTTACTTACGTTAGTGGACTGCGAACCCTCGTGAATTTTCGGATTTAATTCGAGCTCGGAGTCCCTGTTAAAGCTCGGACTACTGAGATCGCTGTGACTAGAAGACGTGCTCGGCGGGCTCTCGGGCCGTACCGGTGAGCCCTCCTCCACTCCCGGATATTGCAGGGAACTCGGTGGATTGTAGACGTTCTTCGGATCCACAGAGAGCGACATTGGTTGGGGCTGGCTCGCCTGCGGGCAATTGTAACCTGCGGCAAGTGATAGAGCGCGTTAAAGAACACTGAAATTGCATAAATTATATGTAAAGTGCTTTACGGCAATATTGAATCTCAAGCACTGAGCTGTCTTCTTCATAAAACACTCACCCGGCGACAGATCGGACGACGCCATCTCGGAGACAAAGTCGCTCAGGGAGGAGTAGGAGGAGCTGGTGCTCTCGGCGCCCTCGGAGTCGGAACCGCTCTCGTCCGTCGGCTGAGTCTCGTGCTCCCTCATCGCCTTCAGGGCGTTCGCCAGCGAGCTACCGGAGTCCCAGACGGGAAAGTAGATCGGCTCGAGGTTGGTCGCGTACCAGCGCGACTTGTCGCCGATCTGCGCGGGATCGAACACCCCGGTCTGCACCCGGAGGAAGGCCACGTTGCTCGGTGTGAGGGACCACTCGGCCAGGAACTCGACCGCCTGCGTGCGCGCGAATTTGTTGAGGAAGCTGCTCTTCCTGGGCCGCGAGCGGAGAAACGAGTTGATCTGGAAGGCCACCACCGGCCGGGGGTACAGCCGTAGAGTGCGCGTGTGCTCGGTGAAGTTGGCCAGCAAGTTCTGCGAGTTGAAGAACCGCACCATGGCGACCCGCGTGGCGATGTCCACCGAATCCACGTCGTTCCCGTAGATGAAGGGATTGAAGGGCGCCGGGCCGCCCTGACCGGTCGCCTTCGGCGGATACGGGCCGGCCGGTCCGGGCGACATCGTCTGCGACATCGACGGCCGACGAGGCGGACTCGACGACGTGCTCATGCCAGGCGAATTCAACGGGGCGTGTTGGACGTGCGCGCACTGATCGACGCTCGGCCTGTGCTTCGTCGAAGCGACACTGTAGGGTTTATTTGTGAACATAGTTTATTAGCATTCAACGTTGTAAAAGTACTTAGGATGTAGATAACAGCGTCGTTCCATGATCGAGGAATTGATAGAAGAATGCATACTTTTGTCGACAATTTTTATTCAACGAAAAGCACGAGTCTTCTTCTCTACATTCGTCGACATTTCATTCATATTATTGTCGGTAATCTTGTTGTTAGTAATAGACTTTAGCGAAAGAGACGTGATAGCGACGTACCTTAAGCTGGAATGATGGGAGGCCGTGCTTTCTCTTCTGCTCGGTTGCTGAAAGGACAGGCGCAGCGAGATGTCCTGCGGGGGCAATGGAGGGCCCGTCATACTGGCCATCGCCTGGAAATTCATTAAACAGTAAATTAACGATCGGTCCTTCGTTTGCAACGCTCGCTGCTCGTTGCTACTTCGTTGCTACTTCTACTTGGACTAGATTTCGACTAGATTTACAAACAAAGAGGCGAGAAAACATTACAAAAAAATTGTTCTACCCGACGTCGACTAAAACTTTCAATCTTCAAGAAAGAGAAACTAATCTTTTCTTTTCGATTGCTACAGTTTGTATTTGCTACTTGCAATGTTCATCTTACACCGTTAGCAAATGCGCGTGGCTGCGATTTGACTTCACTCTACATCTACGGCTCTACATGTGATAAATCATGCATGCGACTAACTACGAAATAAAGGGTATGCCACCAAGCGGACTGAGAATTAGTAAAATATTTACACTAGAGCCAACTTGATCCATCAGTTGCATTGCCTGCGGTGAGGGTAAGGAGTCATTAAAAACTCTTCGTCACTTAGCTTCGTAATAATAAAAGTCAATAACGAAAGTTCTATGTCGCCACTCAAGCGACATCGCGTTACCTGCTTCAGATGATTTTTCAGGATGGTACCCTCCGGTTCCGGCAACGGCGGCAAACCGTCATCGCACAAAGCGCTCGGCGCCGTTATCTTATTGCTATCCAAGTCCACCAACCAGATGTCGTCGGGCATCCTGAAGTTCTTCTTGTACAGCAGGAAGGACGCGGGTATCCCGATCACGAAGGGCGTCGGGGCGAGCAGCAGCTGCTCCGCGCAGCTCATGCACGTGGGAAGCAAGGGTATCGCGGGGAACATGTACTCCAGAGGGTAGATCATCGTGACGAACGCCATGACCGACATGGATAGAGCGTTGTAATCCCGGGACTGAAGTACGATCTGAAAGAAAGAACGTCGCTTGATTCTCCAGCAGCTCTGGACATTCGAAGATGCAGCGAAAACGCTGATGAGACATGTATGTTTTATTTTATTTTCTGATAAAGAAAGGGTGAAAATTTTTCTCAGATTTTTTATACAAATTGAGACTACTTTCAGAAATACTGAATACTTTCAGAAAGTCTACTGCTTTTCCTAGAATTTTTCATTGTATGTGAATATTCTGAAATATTTCTGAGATTCTATAATTTCTGAAAAAAAATTTCTTAAATTTTATGAAATCTTATAAGATTACGTCTGAAATTATAAAATAAGCAATGTCGCAAATCGCGGAATATTCCAAAGTTTACATATAAAAATTTTTAGAAAAGATATAAACCTTCTCGGCGCTACTGAAAAGTGTACCAATTTGTACAGAAAAATCTGAGAAAAACGACTGTTTTATACTCGTTTACCTTGTTCTCCAAGAGGATCAGCGTGAGGACCTTCAGACATATGTCGACGCCTAGGAGCTCCAACGGCAGGTGCAGAGGAAAATCTACCAAGGAAAACCTGGTGTGGTCCGGCAGGGCGAAACAGAGCGGGGGTTGCATGCTCGACGATATTATCTCGACCTCGACACGCGTCTTTGTCGGGACGGGCACGGGGCTACTGAGCAAACGCAGTATCCATGTCTCGATCTCGCGAACGTCGTGAAGCACGATGGACGGCGTGTCGCCCAGAACCTGGCCCGTCAGAACGCTCCACACCGTATCTCTGTTAATGAGACAAGTTCAGTTGACGGATGCGGTAGTTTTTCAAATTCCCGCGACCCACGTCTTCTTTCCGTACACACCTGTTGGTCTGCCGAGAAGCCCCGACCTTCTGCGGCGTGAAGCTCTCATTGCACGCGTCGATGATCTTCTTCAGAACGAAAAGACACTCCCGGAACATCGTGAAGAACGGATGGTGCGAAATGATGCATAGCGAGGTCAAGGAGTGATTGCGTACCCTCTGCGAGAATATTGCGAGGTCGTTGGACTTATTGGCGAGCTTTATTATGTAAAGTTATGTATGTGTGTGCGTCGCCTTCAATTCCTCTAAGATACTTTCTGAACGAATGAGTTACTGATGGCGAGAACTGTTTCGAGTGCAAGGTGTTGTTATATTAGTCAGTGGTATCGACCTGACGTCTTCGAGACGCGCGTGGCGAAGGGGAATGACTGCCACCGCTCTCGCTGTCCCCGCTCGGTGCGATGAATTCCAATCTCGGGGCGTGGGGTACCTGCGGCGTGTCCGAGTCCCTCCTGCTACTAGAGCAATCTTTCTCAGAGTCACTGGGACCCACCGCACTGCTCCTATAGTCGCTATAACGAGAACGGCTAGAGATACAGTCTTATAAACGGGACATTCTGTCGGGCGCTGATTTGTCCGGATTGTCTAGAACACGCGGCAATAGATCTCTCGCTCGGTTCCGGAGAATCGGCGAATTTTTTTAGAAGCTTTAGTTTCGAGAAGAAAAAAGAATAGACTGCGCGTTTCCTACCTCTCCCACGTTGAGAACATGTGCAAACTTTAGACCGAGACAGCTGACAGTTGAGTAGTCGCCTCATCTTCGTCTAATAAATAGTGGAGGTAACAGAGGAGTAAGGGAAGTGGTAGAGAGCGACAGAGAGAGGGCGACCACTCAAAGTACGTTGTCTCCTTCTAAAGTTTGTACACTTCTTCGGCCAAACGCACAGTCAATACATTATACGTCTACGGCTTCATTCTTCTACTGATTGCAGAGGTCGGAGGGAGGCCAATAATTATAAGCCATTTCACCTAGAAAAAGCGGAATCCGTGCTCCTCTCCATGCTCTTCCTCCAGCTTTCCCTGCGAAACGTGGTGTTGTACTTTTCCCTCTTGAGCGACATTTCCCCGCCAGCCACGACCCCCGCCCTTTCAGTAGGTCGGTAAAAGTTCACGCAGATCCCATAACGCGTCTTTCCTGCATTTAGCAAAATATCACTATAGCAATGCGAATATCACCGGACAGTGTCACGCGCAAGTGGCAAGTGGCACGAACCTGAATCTTTGTCGGTGAGGGTGAAGGTGAAGGACGTCGCCTCTCGTAAGGCCGTGCGCTTCGGTCCCACGCTACTGCAACCTTCCGGTTGGCAGAAATACACCATATCCAGAGGTAGAGGAAAATCCTTGTGATCCTCCACTGGATATCTGCGTAGCAACTCCGGGACCTGTTTTAAACGCAGATCATTATTTCTTCTTTCCTTCAATCAGCCTCTCTTTCTTTGCAATAAAGGGGCTTAAACGGCAGAATTAATCCTAGCAACGCAGTGCATTGGCTATACATTGGTCCAACGTTGGCTATATTGGGAATGCATTGGCCGACATTGTCCGACGTAAAGCCAATATTGGACTATTAGATGTAACTATTGCACGATAATAATTATATTACAATAGATTTATATTGGAAGCGCATTGACCAATATTTAACAATGTAATAAGAATACTAGCCTACTATTGATGCAATATTAAACCAATATTGCTAACTAGACATATTGGCTAAATAAGAGAAGGCGTCCATCTTACAATATTGGACCAATATTGGGAACACTAGGTTTACATTATTTCCCAATATTGCGCCAATATATTGTGCTAGGTAAGATACCGCCGTGCGAAATTTCGCGAAACTCTATATCGATGCTTCAGCGGTAAACAACGTTAGGTCACATTTTTTTACGAAGATGAGATTTTTGTACTCTTGGCTGAGTTCGTCAAGCCGATTAAGAAAATATAAAAATCTCGTTCTCGTAAAAAAAAACTGTGACCCGACATTTACCTCCGAGACACTATATTACACTTGTAAACTTTCGCTGGTACAGAATTGCGCAAATGTACGCTTTAATGTCCCCCGTTGTTTTACCTGTACGGGCTGACGAGAGGCAGCGGGCATCCTGGCCCCCACGATGGCGAGATAATCCACCAGTCGGGGGCACAGGAACTTCTTCTGTATATCCATGGCTGTGGTCTACGTGCGTGCAGCTGTGTCACCGTTGTATACAGTGTATACAGGACATCCGAGCTGCTGAACTCTCCTCAGGGTCGTTTCCAGCTTGAATCATGATTGTACCATTCTCTCGCTTATTTATCCCACCTGCAAACACACAGAGAGAGCGCGGGGCTGCAGTTAATTGACGTCCCTGTCTCGCTATTTGCTGAATAGTGGCGATTAATTAAACTTTCGTCGTAACTGCTCCCGCGGGTGCGAGCGGGTTGAATTTATAGGCGACACCCACCTGCTTCTACTTTGTTAGCCTTAATGGCGCGCTCCTCCGCTGACGCGGGGGTAATATTTTCTTGAAGAAAGTATCTCGAGGGCAATCGCTATGTATTTTTAATTTAACTTCATGCTAGAATTTTCGTTGACGTCACAGATTGCTTCCTCTTCTCAAGTTTTAATTAAACTACCGCTGTTATCTCGATTTTCGTGATGCTTCAAGTTGACGAAAGACCCATAAACGTCCAATAATTTCTGTGTTTGAAAACTACAGACTGGAAACTTTGAGAGAAGAGATTGTTTATTGCTATCTCATTTTCGCAATGCTCCAAGTTGATAAGAGAACTATAAACGTCTAATAATTCCTATGTTTAAAAATTACACACTGGAAACTTCCAAAGAAGAGATTGTTTATTGTTATCTCATCTTCGCAATGCTTCAAGTTTATGCAAGAACTGCTAACACTTAATAATTGCTGTGTTTAAAAATTACTCTCCAAAAGTCAACCAGTGGATTATCACTGCGAACAGTGAATAGCCACTGATTTGCAGTTATAAGTATACCACTGCAATTTTCAGTGGTATTGCTTACAACTGCAAATTAGCGACTATTCACTGTTTTCAGTGATAATCCACTGATTGACTGTTAGCGAGTGCACACCGATAACTTCGAAAGAAGAGGTTTATTGTTATCTCATTTTCGTAATGCTACAAGTTGATGAAAGTACTGCAAACATTTAATAATTTAATAATCAATCCATTGTTTCGACATAACTGGCTGACTTTTGGACAGTAATTTTTAAACACAGCAAAATAAGTTATTTTGAAAAATTAAATATAGCCAGTTATGTCGAAACAATGGATTGATTATTGATTTAATTACTGGTGAACAAAAACATTACCAACAACAATTTAATAATTTCTATGTCCAAAAATTACTCTCTAGACAATCGGTGGATTATCACTGCGAACAGTGAATCGTCACTGATTTGCAGTTACAAGTATACCACTGCAATTTTCAGTGGTAGGCTTACAACTTTAGAGAGATACACGCCGGAAACTTGGAAAGAAAAGACTGCTTATCGTTGCCTCACTTTCGTAATGCTTCAAGTTGATGAAAGAGCCACAAATGTCCAATAATTTTTATGTTTGAAAGTTACACACTGGGAACTTCGAAAGAAGAGATTGTTTATTGTAACGTTCGAAAATCTGAAGCCTCGGTCGCGAAGTCGAGACGTCGGGCGTGAACTGATCAACCCAGATAGCAACGCATGACTAAAAGACGTCATAAAGACAGCTTTAAGACACTTTTTAGACCAACATATCTAAAAGACAGCTTAATACCGTTTAAAAAATGTCTATTAGACGTGTACGCTATCTGGGAACGTCCCTAACGCGGGGACGAGCGAGGAGATCGCGAAGGGCGGAAGGGCCGGAGGACAAGCGCCGGTCCGGACTTGGTTTCGGGAGATCGATGTGATTCCGCAGGCCCAAAAGGATATCTGTGTCACCGTGTCGGGGGCAAAAGGGAACGAGGGAAAAAGCGGGCGTGCATGCGCATGTTTAATTCCGCGCGATATCGAGCCCGGTCTCGTATTTCGCATCGCGGCGCAACGCGGACGGAGGCGACGGGGCTCCGTGCGTGCACGAAGCCACGTACTTCCGTGTTCGATTACACCGCGTCATCGCGCGACAGGCGATTACAGGCCCGAGGCTCGCTCCGACGACGTCCAAACGAGGCCCGAGCTGTCGGATGTCCTGCGGCCGCCCGAGGAAGTCGCTCGAGATTGCTCAATCTTTCAAACGTCCCCTTTTAAAGACACTCTTCTCTTTCTCGAGTCGGCTCTTTTTTCGGTGCGCGAGAAGGACGTTCGATTGGAAAGTTCAATGCAAGATGTTCAGTGATTTAATCCGTGTTCACACGCACATTTAGAAACGTGAGAGAGACTCGAGTTAGAATTGAAAAACTGGTATTTAGATCTCATTTCTCGAATCCTTAAGAAGGAAACGAGGCAACAATTCGTTGGAAGCGACGGGGAATCTGAAAGAGTCAATCTTGAAGTTAGGAAAGTTATTCGCAGACTCATTTCGTGAAAAAATGAGTAGATCGCGAAAAATCCCCTTAATCTTAAAGGAATCTCTTACACATTACTCGCGTATGCATAAAATTTACTAATTTGTCTTGTCAAATTAATCGTTAATCTAAAAAAGATAGCAAACGCGAATTTGTTTCTTTCAACCTTGAAGTTAAGAAAGCTGTTCGCACTCTCTTTCTCTCAAGTCCATAAAAAACTGAGTAGATCGCGAAGAGAACTGCTCAATCTTGAAGGAATCTTCTATACACGTTACTCGAGTGTGCACAAAATTTATTAATTTACATGCGAAATTACTTGTCGCTCTAAAAGGAATTGCAAGCGTGAATTGGTTTCTCTCAGTGTTGAAAAAAGCTATTCGCAGACTCATTTTCTCTCAAGTCCACTCAAGTCCACATAAAAATTGAATAGGTTGCGAAGAGAACTGTTCAATCTTAAAGAAACCTCCTACGCACATTACTCGCATGCAAAGTTAATCCGTCGTTCTAAAAAAAGAAGATCGCAAACGCGGATTGCTTTCTCTACGCTAACACTGTTTAAAATATTAGATAGAATATGATAAGACGACATGCAATTTCAATGTAAAGAAATAAGAGTCTTATTAATTTACGTTGAAAGCGCATGTAGTCTAATGTAATCTGATCATATTCTATTTGTTATTTTACGCAAAGAAGCTGACATACCGATTGCTCCGTTTTTCGGGGCTCATCGTCAACTGTAAAATTCCAAAAATCCACTTCACCTAAATTCGGAGATCAAATTAGATCGCGCGAAGGTGTCGAGAGGGGCTGAAAGTTAAAACGCGCGTGTTCTCAGACGGCGGAGCTTGTAAAATCGATCGGGACGGGACCTCGTTTGTCGAAAACTCGGGCGGTGCATTGTCAAGCGAGGAAAAGATCGCGTTTAACAATTCATCGGATCAATTATTCAGCCCGAGGCGCGAACGGTATCGCCGAGATGCCGAGGGTAAGCAGTAACGAGACCCGGAACCATTCCCGAGCAGACGCGCCGCGGAAAGTCGCGCCCGCAGCTGCGACGGCTAAGTGGCACGGAGACACACCTGCGGGCGATCCGTTTTGATAAGGCGCGACAGTTAACGAGCCGACCTCGTCGGGTTCCGCCGCTCCCGAAGAGCGACGTTCCGCGGTCAGCTCGCGGCACGTCGATCGCGCGAAATTGCCCCGACCAATTAATTCGGCCAGGCCCGGTCTACAACGAGTTGTTAGTCAGAAGTCAGAACTGTATGTCGGCCTTTTTTCTTCCACCCTGAATGGAAAAGGATCGAGATACAGTTCCTGTATAGACTCATTGTAGACCAGGCCCTAGACTCGCGGAGGAGAGCGGCCGAGGGATCGCGTTCCGATCGCGGGATCGAGGGGAGAGAATTCAGAGAGACACCCGCCTTTACCTCGACCCTCGGGGGGTAACACTGGCCACCCCGTAGCCGCGCGCGAGAAAAACGCGACTGAGAGCCCGAAACCTCGCGAGAGCGGGACAATTACGCCGTTCCGAGATTGCCTCACCGCATCGATCCCGAGGCCACGAGCCGAGCCCCAGCGGGAGAGACGGGGTCTCGCCTCTCCGACGTCCGCTCGGGGGTGCATCGCTCGGATTCGCGAGTCGCGCGAGAGATTCGATTAAACCGTCGGCGGCAGCCCGCGGCAACGGAAGGGAGGAATTAAAATTCGCGCGGGGAGGGACTCGCGGCCTCAAGGTCGCGGGTGGTCCCGCGGATATTCCGTCGGGAGGACGAGCCCCTACGACGTCGCCGTCGCCGTCGCCGCAAAGTGGAGCAACACTTACGTTTTACAATGCGTGTCAACGCGGAGAACGGCCGCGCACGGTCCTCGTCCGGCCGCCATACGAACGACTGCCCCAAGGCCGACGGCGTTATTCCGTATCAGCCGAACGGCGATATCGCACTGGCGCCCCGGAGCCTCGCGGGGCCGCGCGCGTCGTCGTCGCGACGCTGATCGTTCCCCAGAAGCGGGCACCAGGCAGGCGCACGTCCGCGGGCGCACGAAGCGCGGACGCGCCTCCAGTGACGGCGCAAGCCGCCCCCGACGATGGAATGTCCATTATATCCCCGTTTATCGGCGAAGAGCCGGTTCTCGCGGCTCTCCGGTCCGTCTCGCTGCGGCCGCGGTCGAGGGGCGGTCGAGCGACGAGCGGCAGGGGAAACGGTCGGACCTCCTTTCGTTTCGGCTTGACTTGAGCTCTTCTAATTGTTTCTTCTTTTCCCCCCCTTTTTTTTCGTTGCATAGAATATAGACCGTGTATTAGAACGTATTGATCTTTCGGTACGGAGCGTGGAACGTGCGACGCAACGCGCGCGTGTAACGCTTGTCCTCGGTGCGAAACACGCGTGGACAGAATTAGCCCTGTATCCCGTAAGAATTGTCGCCTCGCAAGCTCCGTAGCTCCCTTTAGTTGTTGCGCTTTTTCTTTCGCTCTTCCTAAAATCTTTTTTACAGTGTAATGTTGCGACAGTGTTACACAATTACCGCGACGTTGCTGCAACGTTCTGTGCTAGCTGGGATAATTTTTGTCAATCGCACGCAATACAATGACACGCTTCGCCCGTTTACAAAGTTAACGCGAGATGTATGGGAAAGGAAACACGGAATATCGCCGTTGATTTATCGGTGACAATCCTCAATAATTTTATTGCGTCAACTACAGAGAGTGTTGCGTTTCCTAATGTCGTTTTCTATTGCAACGTGATAATCTAATTCAATCAAACAAAATTGAACGATATCCCGCTACAATGTTACGTATAATGACTGAGTATTTTGCTAGCAATAATAGTTTTACCGACACAATAACAATGAAGTATAATAACTACTCTAATTATTTTAAAAGCAACAGCAACTTAATTAATAAGTTAATGTCTCTCAACACGACCTGCCTGCAAAAAGAGCCAACGAATTACCGTTTCTCGCATTATCAGGTAATATTCCATGTCTCTCTTCTTCGCAACTTTAACGGGGTGACTCGATTAATATCCCCCAATTACTCGCAACAGCCTTAATTTAATCGATCGCTCAAGTTTATCCATTTCGAAGAGACCCTAGTAGCACAGCACATTGGCTAAACATTGGTCCAATGTTGGTTATATTAGAAATGCATTGTTCAATATTGTCCAACGTAAAGCCAATATTGGCCGTGGAATAAATGTAAATGCCGCACGATAATAATTATATAACGTTAAATTTATATTGGAAGTGCGCTGGCCAATATTAAGCAATGTAGCAAGAATGTTAAGTCTACTATTGATACAATATCAAACCAATATTGCTAAATGGACATATTGGCTACCTAAGAGAACGCGTCCGCCTTACAATATTGGGCCAATATTGGGGAATACTAGATTTTACATTATTTCCCAACATTGCGCCAATATATCGTGCTACTGGGGGAAGGAGACGGAGACCACCGCGGTGCAGGGCGAGGCATCGCCAGCGATCTCGCAAGCGGGACGTACCACTTGATAAGCGTCGCTTCGGAAAGAAACGGTTTCCCAATTACGAGAGCTTAAGAGTAAGTTCCTTAATTCGGCCCTGCGTGTCCAGAGGCACGTCGTCGCGTGGCCCCGGCTGGCGTACTCGCGTGCGCGGCATCACCAGCCGGATCAATAACGCCCCGTCAGATTCAGCTGAAGCGTCCGGGAGTACGCAGGAGGGTGGCGGACGGCGGGGAAGGGAGAGGGAGCGCGGAGAGAGGACACGAGGGTTGGAACGGGGCCAGAACCTTGCGGGGCGTCGACTAGGTCGAGCGCGGCGGCAGGGCGAAGGACAAGGGTGCCGTCTTCGACTTTCTTTTCCAGGGGGGAGAGAAGGAGGGCTGCGAGATCCCCCGAAATCCCCCGCGTGGGAATTCACCGCGGTTGAAGGTCGCGGGCGAGATGTGGAGCGACTGGTCTCGAGACCCGTCGGCTTTCATGCGCCGACAACTCGCGACAACGAGTCGGACGCGTGTCCATCGATTAATTCAATATAGTCGAGGCACGTTTTGATCCAACGCGTGGGAAGCCTGTCGCGAGGGTGAATTGTGACACCCTCTCAGTGTAAAAATGTGCCGAGGGCGGAAAACGTTTTCGTTACGGGACCCACGGGGCGGTGTTCGCAGTCAAATCTTATATTTAAGATCGTCTTGAGGTCACCTTAGATGCCAATGAAATGTTCCACGCAGCATCTCAAGATAAACTTAAGACGGTCTTGTACACGAGATCCGACTGTGAATACCGGCCTTAATTTCCCGAGGGAGAAAGAACGTCGAAAAAAAATTGATACATCGATACCCCTTCGCTCTCTTTCAAGCTCGAACAACCGCGGGCCTCGGACGAACTGGGAGAATCTGAAGGAGGAGACTCGTCGCGCTTGTACAAATTTTATTAAATACCATATATGTATTTTATAATCAATAAATTACGCGATTTCCTTGAGACACGAGCGTCTTAGGACCTGCAGCGGTTGCCTCACGCAACGCGAACACCACAGATTCAGACAGATTAGCAAATTATCGTCCAAGACGGAAAGTAACTAAATCCCCACACAGCAAAACAAGTTTCAGAAAGCTTTCCGAAAGATAACTTGGAAATTAATATTGAAATGTAAAATTGAAATCATTCAGAAATATCTTTGAAACGTTTCATCAAAATCACATGTCATTGAAAGCTTTCCAAAAGATATCTTGAAAATTAATTTTGAAATGTAACATTGAAATCATTCAGAAGTATTTCTGAAACGTTTTATCGAAATCATTTATAATCCTTCTCACTGAAATATTTCAGAAATATTACAAAACATTTCAGAGAAATATTTCGTACGTAATCTCTAAAACATATGTTATTGAAAGCTATCCAACATATAACTTGGAAATTAATAGTGAAATGTGAGATAGAAATCATTCAGACATATTTCTGAAATGTTTCATCGAAATCATTTATGATCCTTCTCACTGAAATATTTCAGAAATATTACGAAATATTTCTCTGAAATGATTCTATTTTTCTATTTCTATAAATGTTTCTATTTCTCAGAAATATTACGAAACATTTCAGAGAAATATTTCGTACGTAATCTCTAAAACATGTATTATTGAAAGCTATCCAACATATAACTTGGAAATTAATATTGAAATGTAATATAAAAATCATTCAGAAATATTTCTGAAGCATTTAAGAAATATTTCCGAAGCATTTAAGAGATATTTCTGAAGCATTTAAGAAATATTTCCGAAGCATTTAAGAGATATTTCTGAAGCACTTCAGAAATATTTCAGAAACATTTATGATATCTCATCTACGCGGACATTTCATGTATCTGAAACATGTCAGAAATATTTTTTTGAAAGGTTTCATATTTCATTGACAGCTTTTTGAGAGCTTTCTGAAATATTTCGGTGCTGTGTGGGTCTCCAGCGCTCGTGGAAACTTAACGGATCTAACGATCAGTGCGGTGGATTCGATCTACACGAAGAAAAGTTTCTCTAAAAATTTACCCTGTAAATCGTGTGATCGTGGGACAACATGGCATTTTGAAGAATTTCAAAAAACTCTCGTAAAATTCCTTGAAATGCCGTGTGGTCCCACGTTTATATAACTGTTAGGATAAATTCTACGAGAAAATTCTCTCCGTGTATACATACATGTATATATGCGAGCAAAGAAAGGTGTTCGCGTGCGAACGATCTCATTGAAACACAGATTCGTGAGAGAGTAAAAACCTACGAGTAACATATTCGTAATACTGTAGTGTTCGTCTTGCTAGCTTATACATATATTTAACGTTCTCCCGCAAGGCTCTCGGGCCTGCCTCTCGTTGTTTACATTATTGTTACTGTAAAACAGACGCCAACTTTCTGCCGACGTCGCGCGCAAGAGGGAAAGTCGCTCCCGCGTCGCGTACAATCGCGCTCGAAAATTCAGCAAGTCAAAATATATCGCTTCTACGTTTAATCAAAGTAATGCTTTAACAATCTTCGTATTCCGAATACATTTCATCGGCCCCGTCGAGGGATCCTCGAGATCCTTCTCGACGAGACGTTAACGTGACAGCACTCGCTGATCTCGACTACGACTATCTAAGCTATAAGTATCAAGTTCGTTGAATGCCGCGACATCGCGCCAATTATTACACCCGTAATGCACCCCCTCGTTCTCCATGTACATCCACTTAAGTAATGCCATTTAAGTAGCCGATCCGACAGGCGCGCACGTAACAGGAAAGAAAAGCGATTTCGCTCGGTGGCTCGGTACAGTCGCCCTAATCGCTCTTTGTACTGCTTCCGTCGAGGATCTAATATAATTTATATATAAATACGTGGTATCGAAACGGTACGTAGAAAATATATTGCGGTACAAAAGGGAGAGATGCGGGGACAGTAGATCTCTTCTCTACGCGCGAGCACGTATGCGAGGGTACACCATGCGTCGTGCTGGGGTGAGAGACACCACAGGTTTCATTCCTCGTGCAATCGTAGCCGCGCGGCCTCGCGGGTGGACAGTGTCGGACAACAACGGGTGTCCCCCGCGAGATCGGCGCGAGCTTCACTTGTTCCGCAATCCTGTATCGCGTTATCGCGATCGTTTCGAGCCGTGGTCGCGCGTGGCCGATCGAGAAACCAACGGCTTAGAGCCTAATATATATCAGAGGTCGACGGCCGTGTCGGATCCGTGATGGTACTCCTCGTCTAACAGCGGCTCTTCTTCCACCGTCATGTGAACTGCGAACAGAACTCGTCATCATGCACACCAAACGAATATAAACATACGACACATATATTCTAACGCACTCTACGTGACACCTTCGACCGGCGTTTCCCTTCGTTCTCCTCCGTTTCATTCCCCTCTCTTTTCGCCGGGACATTTTGAGTTCGCGCACGACGTAATCGAGGAGGGTAGAAGCGAAATCGACGCTCTCCACGCTTTTCACAACTCGCGACAAATTCGGGAAATGTCTCCATTCAGATGATCTACTGGACACTCTCTTTTTATACGAATAATTTGTAGTAACGAGAGAAAAACCGAAAAGTGGAGAGAACGAAAATTCATTCTTTCGTCTTCTACGTTTCTCGATTTCAGAGATATTTTCACTCTTTCTATTAGGAAAGAAGATGTATGGACATAGAAGAATCCTACCCAAGTTTCCTATCTAAAATACGTGCCGAGACAAATGTAAAACCGTTTATTTTGCCAAACGGTATCTTTCTTAAAAAATTTACAGCTTCCAGCAATGTTGTATCTAGACTAATTATGTCTCTCTATGTCTCATCTCCTCTACTAATCAATGTTCGCTCTCTTAAAAAAAAATGAAAATGTATTATATCGTTCAGTTACCAGTAATATATAATGCGTTCCGAGTTTTTTATATTTGAATTTTTCCAACAAAGACACATACGGTATAACAAAGTCCAAGCAGCAGGCAAAAAAACATGCAAAATAATTCCGACATCCTGCAAAACTGAAACTCTTCGTGTACTCTTACGTGAGGAAGGTAATTTATATTTATAGTGCTAAAAAATACTTTTAAGTATTATAGTAATAGTAAAACTTTATCGATGCGATCCAAATACTATGAGCTATGCCGTAAGATATTTGTAAAAATAACAATTAGTTATCCATACAATTAGTATCGCTCACTTTACATTGACTAAAACTAAGTCTGCAAAAGATTTTAATCCACATACGTGTCAATTTTTGAGCATATTTTCATCTTTCCTCGTCGAACGAGGATTAATCTACTTGAACGTATCAATCGTTGCAATTTTATTCTACAATACTTTTTTCTCTATAAATAAATTAAGGCTTATCTTGAGATAAAGGGATCAGTTAGCACATGCAGATGACCATCGGGAGAACATGCAGAAAGCTAATCTCACAGTTCGTAATAACATGCATAAAATATACGTAACACGAGCGATATTATATTGGCATACATAACAAGTTTATGAGTACAATATGATGCATTTTCGTCATATATAAAACATATTAATCCTAACACAGATTCCTTCTCCGCTTATATATAATAACAATCAATTACCTTCCCATGTTACATTTTTAAGCGAATTTCGCATAACGACAAACTAAAGCGCAAACATGCATATTATCGTCCGCGTAATATCCTAAATAATTCTTTTATTACAGTTAACTGTCTTTCCATGAAAAGACGATGAAATGCACCATTGGAACACAATACAAACTTTCTTGCTGCTGGTACATTTTGTCTGGCATGGTAAATCTTTTTTCTCCTTTTACAACTGACACAAGTTTTATTAGATATTACGAGATAACGAATAGCACGAAAATTGAATTTACTGAGTGACGTGAGAAAATTAATTTTTTAAAAGAAGCTTCTCTGACAAGATCGGTTGAATTAGAATGAAGAGTGGCACTTTATAATAAACGTATTTATCCAGAAGATATAATACAGTTCTGAAGGAAATTTGAAATATGGTACAGTTCAATAAAATTACATTTCATTCAGTGTAACATTTACATGTACAGCACTGTCTTCCAAGAAACATAATTAAACAGATTAATCATTTTACTTGTTCTATTTACAGCAATAACGTAATCAATTCCCATTCAATTCTGGAATTGTTGTTAATGTACGACAGAAATGAGAAAGGAATCCCAATATATCACATTTTAAAGAAAAGCTATCGCAGTTAATCTGGTCAATATGAAAACATTCCTCTCGTTTTATATTCCCCTAGAGCAACATTTCTTCAGAAATATGTAATACAATAGAAAAGTTATTAACATTAACATTTTCTATGATACATCAAGGTTTTGCATTTTACATCTAATTCAGTTATTATAAAAATTATTAATTACTCGTTACTTTTAGCAAGAAGGAATATTAAACTAAAATAACATGTTTAATATAATATACAAGTAAGATTTAAGCATGTATCTGCCATTTGCTTGTAATGTTTCATGTAAAACGTAGAAGCATATTTAAAATACGTTTCTCACAGAATATATGTGACACTTATGTAAAGATGTTCTCTTAATAAGTTTTCGTCTTAATTGTATCTATTGTCGTATCTATTGACGTAGACGTAAACAAACGTATCTAGTGCAAAGCCGGAATTGTTTCTCGTCCCCTATTCTAACATTCCTCATATATCATGGCCTCGTTAAAAACGATTTTCATTATCAAATACACGACATACGCATAAAAGCAGAAATAGAAAACGTTCACGACGCATTCCGTATAATCGAAAATTATACATTTCGAAGTAAAGTTTACGCAGTTTGTTATACTCGAGAAACATCACTCTTAAAACAAAATTTCTTTTGTACATGCTCTCCATATTTCAACCATTATAAATAATACCAAATTAAGTAATTGAAATTTTTAGGAAAAGAAAACATTAAAAAGATCCAGATCTTCGTTCAAAAATATTACCACCTTATTAAATTACAAAAAATAATCATAAATATTTCAAGAAAGGCAAATCATCAATTTAGTATTTAGAACAAACAATTCTAAATATTAGTTTTTGGTAAACTTACTTTTAACGAACGATGAAGAGATTTTTGATCTTGCACGTTTGATGTATAATTTCTGTTACATTATAACAAACATCCCGCAATGAACGAGATGTACCGAATCAGACATACCAAAAACAGAGATCGACATTAAAAAATTTTATGCAGGTGATATCAAATTGATAACATCCTCATACAAACTTTTATACTCGTGTGTGTGTGTCTATGTATCATGTCTCTCTTCTCGAACGTTCTGGATTATAAGTTATCACTTTTTTTTTTCTTATAAGTATGGAGCAAGTACCGTTTCTATTACACGATCCGGTGGCACTTTCTTGTTTTGATGCACGGTACGTTTGACTAAAAATTCGTAATAACCGCTAATCAATTCAACTAAGACCTTAATCACAAGTTTTTATTCAACTTTCTAAGTTCTTAGCCTGAAACGACAGTTCATAAATTATAAACGTGATAACAAATGAGCTGTACTATTCGAATGTCTATGTACACAAAACTCGACAAGCAGTTTTTACTTTGTTACATTCTTTATACACGAATCATACAGAGCATTCATTATCACCAGTCGATCCTAATGATGTTTCTTATGCAATCTGTTACGTTGTGACCTATTAGTACCATTTTTCTCGGCGGCGTTGATCTGGATAGTGCCTGCGTGGTGGTTGCATGGTATCCTGAATAGTTTGATCTTCATATGATCGCATATCTCAAGACACACTTGAGCACAATACCGGAAGAGATCCAGAGTGACCCAGATCTAAACATACGTGTTTCGTTACCACTTATCGAGATCGTGGGAGGATTATGGCATAAATAGAAATCAAACGTTTACGCGACTTACAAAACACAGCCAAAGAACATAATATTCTTTGATGAAAAAGTTGAAATATTGATTGAGGAACAGCATAGCTGGACCGATTAGCGAACTGTCCAAGTATTGCATCTCATTTTTAGTCATGTGAGCGACCTGGAAAGCGTCATTATAAAACATTGTCATTATCACGAATAAAAAGATATCGCGGATGTACAATTGATGCACGTACCACTAGTCTATTTGTAACTTTGGCCGCCACCATTCCAAACGAAAGTATGTACAGGGCTGGATGGTTTTCGTAGACATGTTCAGCGCTTTTTCTATATATTATAAAAGCCGGTACTACCACAAAACTGAACGGTATAATCGGCGATAAAACGGACGTTCCCTGAAATAAAATTAGTCTTATGCAGAGACTCTGAAGCAGTTACTTACAATTAAATCTACGTGCGGAGATGTGTACTTGTAAGAGAAGAATACTTGTAAGAGAAGACTAAATGCAAAGACTTAACCCAACAAAACGTTATCTGTAGTATATTTGATAAAACGTACGTTAAAACCTTTTATATATTAATTAAATATGTGATAGTTGTCAATCGATGTAATTGACGCGTTTTACAATTGATGCAGTTATTTATAATATAAAAAATAAATATCACCATTATATGTGCATTCAACGAGAAAAACGTTGCGAATGTGAGAAAAGAAAGATAAAAGTTTCAAGCAAAATCTAATGTATGTAGAAAAAAAGGGTTAAAGTCTGCTTTATTCAAGAGTTTTAATGCAGTAGATAAATTATTCCAAGTGCACTAAAAGCGTGACTAGGTAAAGTTATTAAGGAATGTAATTTTAATTATCATAATATAAAATATTAACGTCGTCGGACGCATGCAGTATACTAGATTCTATATAATGTACACACAGGTAAAATAATACGCAAAACATCATGGGATCAGTACGAAGGAATCGTCATTCTAACATGCAAGCGGTACATAGTACTTTTATTAAACTATTAATTTACGCTTCTACTTTTCTACGACTTCATAATCGTGCGTGCAAAAATACGGCTCCGTGTGAGTATCGGAAACAAAATTGGAGAGAACTATTCTATAACTGCAAAATATAAAGGAGGCGAGAGGTGAAGGGATGTACGTGGATTCCTCTGTGGGGAAGTATGTGGCATGTAACAAATATTAACGTAAGTGAAAAGACAGTAAAAGTGATGAATAATTTTATATGACGCCATTAGATTTAGGCCCAACGTTGCGTTTAAAGGAACGAAAGATCTACCGTTACTTAATTATTGCCACTAATTATCATTAGACCGCACAATCTTTTACGCATCAGCGACGAAATTAAAACGCATTATTAATTCGCAGCAATAACGACAATGTCTCAAGCGAACCCTCTTTACGCCTGAACGCGACGTTCAAAAAGCATGGGCCTAAATCACGAAACTAAACAAAAAAGTAATCAAACAAATATTGTGCACTACACAATTGGTCCCACTACGTTTTTTTTTTCTTCAGCTGACTTACTGCGACGGTGGAGCCATTTTTTCCGACACCACCGGCGAGAATGACGGATATGCTGCTTTGTGCAAGTAAAATAGCGATGCCCACAGCAGCCCATAACGGAAACACCTTCACCTCTGTGCCAGTGTATGGCAACTGTATAAGAGCGACACGAAAGATCTTTTGATTAGTCATCAGAGGCTATCCTCGTGTCAAGGGCTTCCTAACACTCCGTATCCCTGACATTTCAATCATATAATGTCAAGTCACAAGTCAGGAAGTACACGTACTGTTTTTACTTTTGAAACAATTTCATATTACATTTTAACGCCGAGATAAACACAAGTCATAACGTTACCACAAAAAGACAGACATATATAACGTTACGTATTACATGGTAAAATGCTCTTGCATTATCTGGATCTATACATGTAAGGTTGAACAATTTTTATCATTGCTATAAATTTCGACTGTTCGCAATCACATTGTAATTGTGACACAAGATTTTCGCGTTTTATTTTACATCCAAAAAGTCTACACGGAAATTTTAAGGCTCCTTCCTTTCTGTTATCTTGCTATGCGAGTTAGTCGTTTATAATCTTCGCAATTGAAAAAAAAATAGACATTTTCGGAGGAAGAAAAAGAGAATAAAATTGTAAAGGTGCGGAGTAAAAAGTTTGCTGCTGTAATACCACGAACATGTAATTAGATAAGTGCAAAAAAAAACAACGTGTGACACGAAATCCGAGTTTGAGCTAAAAAAAGACTTGAGGAAAGTAAAGCTATCACTGTGCGCAGCATTCGGTCATACACAAATGTGTTGGTCTCTTTTTGTTCCACATATAAAAGTAACACACACCATTTTCCTTGCAGGCATACTCCACCAAAAAAAAAACAACTGCATACAGCAAGTTTCAAGTACGAACAATATCCTTCTCAGGTAAACAGGTATCTTGCGTCTGCTTATTGAAATTGAGACGTAAAAACTGCACAGTAAATGAAACTTTTCGCATAATTCAATACGGCATACAATCTCGCATATAAATAAAAATTAACGCGTCTTCCTTTTCAAATTAGAATCGATCATTCTTTATCCAGGGTAGGCAAACAATTATTTAATTCTTGTAGCAATAGAAGCATAAATTTCTCTAGCAAAGAGATTATCTGGACAGCTTGTTACATCAAGCGCGATTCTACATATTAGAAAAAAAAAGCGCTTATGTAATTGTGCGAGATACCGGAGATATGTCACTCTGGTGGTTTAATATGCAGACGGCCATACATAGAGGTTTAGTAATCCAACCGAGCACCCGACGTACCCTCCCCAGTAGAAAGAGATCGATAGAGAAGAGAGCAAGCAAGGAAAAAAAATACTGAAGAAATGTACCAAACAGACAACATTTCTACCGTACAGAATGGCAAAATATACGAGAATACGTCGCTCTAGGAGAACGTCTATTCTTTGAGAGACTTACTGCAATTGTGGAACCATTTTTTCCAATCCCACCGGATTCAAAGACTTTACAGAATTGAAGGAACATGTGAACGTAGCCTGCATAAAAGGCCATTGCTATGTAGTTATTCATCGTGCCTACACCGAACACGGGCATCTAAACAAAGCGACAAGATCTTCGTTCGTTATGAGAATTGCTCGTTGTTCCTGTGTGCGTGTACATGAATGTACAATCTGCTGTAATTATATCTCTCGATACCGCTGTGTCGCAATACCGCTCTGGATGGGCTCAGTTCTATCTGTGGTCGTATTTACTTCATGTACAAAACGGAACATACTTCCTTTCTCATTGTAACAAAACTGCAAGACTGTAAGGCGCGAGGGAGCAGCTGATTTGAGTACGATGAGCCGAATATTAAAGACTACCTCGCCCTTTGCGATTCACCGTGTCAGAATTTCCAACGTCAAGCCGGTTTTTTTTCTATTTGTTATACCTAATGCGCAAGTTTCGCAGGTACAGTGTCTTATCTATAGATAAGTAGGCTTGCTTTATTGTTTTTTTAGAAGCATAATGTATGTGTGTGCGTGTGCGTGTGAAAAAGAATGTAAGATACATTTTTGCTACAAATTATTGAGAGGAAAAATTAAGATTTCCCAATATTGATCTACGTTAGATATTTCTATGTACAGAGTTGTGAAAAATGAATTAATAGTAGCGGAAATATATTTTACTTCCATAAACAAATTACTCATCATGCGCAAATATAACGTTCGTTACATAATCTTGCATTAGCTGTACAATCTTGGCTCATTAAACAGCGCCACTGTATCATAGAAATTTATACACGTGACTTGGATTGTTAAAATTCTTAAACCGTTTGAAAGAAATTCTCCGATTCGAAATTGTTTCAAAAGACCGTATTTATAATCGACGCAGCCGCAAGACTTTTCGTCATGGATGTAACATCAAAAGACACACACATGAAATTATGTCTAGTTTGTACATTGGAAAAGACCATTTGTATCAGAAAAGAAGTTTTTACAATTCGGTGTTTTTACAGTATACTGAAACACTAGTAACTTGCTGGAAATTTGAGAAATGCGAATTTACATATGGAACAAGTACAATTGTAGTCGCACAATGGCACGTACAATTCGTCATGAGAATCGCAGGATGTAGGGTTGTCGAAAACAAGAGTGTAGGGGGTGTGGGGGAGGCGACACGATTTAGTAGGGAATACGGAAGTAAAAATGCGTGTTAAAAGTCAGTAAATATTTTGCAGTAAAGAAGTAATCTCAGCGCCGCTCCTCATGCCATGCTGCTCCCATTTCTGCATGTTCAATAAAAGATTCTAGTTGACAGACTTACAGCCACAGTGGAACCATTCTTGCCCACTCCTCCGGTGAAAATCACCGAAAATATGGAATACAAATTTGCCAGTGCGCACACCACTGTCATTACTCCTAATAAATACTTAAGCATAAAACCATCTAAGAATGGTATCTGCAAAAAATATCTTTAGTAAATGACCGTTGTACGTATGGATATTGTCTTAATTTCAGTATTTGTCATGGGACGCCTAGGCGAACTTTTCTTTTTCCAAGGTGCAGTTATCTCTCGGATAATTTTTGAACAGCGCAATAAGTTGCTACGTTTCAATAATACGTATCTGCATATATTTGTGCGTAAAAATATCGTGAAATAAAAAATAAGAAAAGATCAAGTTTCAGAGCTTAATGAGATAATCAGTCTGCATCACTGAGGACTTTACATATGGGCGAAGTAAAATAATTTTTCCGTACTTTGCATGCTAGGGCAGATAAAAAATGACTTTGAGAGGACATTATCGATATGGAAGATTCATATCTTTTTTATGCGAATTCTATAACGTTGTACGTAAGGATATTGTTTTAATTTCGGTATTTGTCATGGACGCCAGGATGAAGTTTTTCCAAGGTAAAATTAACTTTCAGTTCATTTTTAAACAGCGCAATATGTTGTAACGTTTTGATACTTATTTGCATATGTGTGTAAAAGTATTGTGAAATAAAAATTTATAAAAAAAATCAAGTTTCAGAGCATAATGCGATCAGTCTGCGTCAAAGAAAACTAACATAGGCGAGGTAAAATACGCAAACGTATGTGTGTCAAGCTGTTAAAATTACTTACCGTAAAATAAGAAACTCATAGTAACACAAGCAAAACTTTAATAATTTTGCTTGTACCGGGAGTTGCATTTTTTTAAATACGGACTAGAGAGTATCAAGCTATTTGATCTTATCATTGACAAAAATGTCACTATGTAAGCTATTTGCGTAAAAATTGAATCGCCCTGTGTGGTGTAAGCAGCAATAGCGGGTCTAATTAAACGAATAACACAACATACTTGTGCTAACACTTTAGAATAATTTTGTGATACGCTTTGAAAGGAGCAAAGCAAAATACGGTGTGTTGCACTTGTCAAATTATAGCCGTGCAGAAAGTCACGGAAATAATATAAAACAATAGCGTTCTATCGAGAACCGCTACACAACATATCTTTTGCCATGTACAACACGGAGTGCATAGTTAAAAATAATACAACCTCCAGCATCCAGATTTGCGGGCCGAAAATTGCGGAAATCAGATGAATAGCTATGATCGTAAACTGTGCTTCCGTTACATCCACTTTGCCAAATTTCAAGGAACCTATTAAAAAGGTGTCTCAGATAAATGAAATTAAACGGAACTACGTGCGCTACGGTATCTTCATTTCCCCGAGAAAGATCCAAGTACCTGAAACGTAGGTCTGCCAATGGGCGCAGTAGAAAAGCGTCATTGCGCAGAAGCACTGGAAAAACATCCACGTGGGGTAGTATCCTAATTGTACGGCTATACACGCTGACAGAGCTACGAAAACTGAAAACAGGAGCAGACGTCACTGCGTAAACGATTTGCCAAGGGTACGGCGTGAGCGACGCGTAAACCGCGGCCGGTTATCTTACCTGTCGATATCGAGTCGCATCCATGATCAAACAACTCGCCCAACGGCGTGGACGTGCCAGTCCTCCTGGCTTGCTTACCGTCGATAGCGTCTAAACTCTGATACACAAACAGACCAAGTGCACATACAAAACATGCCCATCTAGGTGGCTGAAAAGAAAAGAGAAACAGTACTACGTCAGCGGATTCGGTGGCTGGAACATTTTCAGTTTATCATACAGGATTGTGTGCATCGTACGATTGATCTAAAGCCAAAGACCGATCGGCGACGGACTCGAGTGCATCGACGGCGTCGGTTTCGCGACACCAACGGTGCGGTTACATAAAAGCAAAGTGCTTTTCCGCACCGGCAATTGATTGATCAGCGTACACATGTTCGTCCGACTTGCGCGCGCCGGTGACACCATCGCTCCCAATCGGACAATTGACTCCTCGACGACACACACAACAATGCCGTTTATTTGCGCAAAACTGGTCAACAAACTAATCGAACTGGTTTCAACCGCCGGCAACGGAATTGCCCCGCTCCGGTCGGAAGACTTGAGCCGCGCGAGGGTAGCAGGGGGGCGGCTGGAAAATTATTTCAAAAGCCTCACGGCAGACGCGTAGACAATCGTCAGGGGTCTTTTTGCGAGCTTCGCCTCAGATTTGCATAACAAAACGTTACGCGGCGCGAAGCTATTGCGAGATACCGTAAACATCAGCGGAGCAACTCCGCGTCACGCCACAGTAATTAGGAGGGAGGCGGCTCGTTCGTCTCCGCGATAAGAAGAGCGTGCGTCACGGAGATGCACGGGCGGACTTTTCCGTCGGTCGTCGGCGAGGAGGGGGGGGGGAGGCGACGTGTGGCGCGGGGACAGGTTAGGCGGGTCAGAAGGGGCTTCCGGCGCACCGTGGCCTACCTCGACCCTCGCGTCCGGGCTGTAGTAGACGAGGATCAGGGTGGTGACGATGTTGACGATCAGGCCGAGGACGGTGATGAGGTTGGGCGCGAGCCAGAGCGGCACCTTGCTGACCAGCCAGTCCCACCATGGCTGCAGGAGGCCGTCGAGGAGGCTGTTGCTCGTGCAGCTGTACTTGTGCTCGCTGAGCCGCTTCAGCTGCCCGGGCGACAGCAGCCTCTCCTTGTAGAACTGCATCGCTTCTGCGAGCCGGGCCGGGAGGGGGGGAGGGTGGGCGCGCGTCGCTACGACGCCGTGTCAGTGTCACCGAGCCGTGGGCGCCGGGGGCGGCGGCGGGGCGGCGCGGAGGCGACGGACGGGGAGAGCGAGGGACACGCGGGACCCGGATGCGCTCGTTTCCGCGACGCGGAAGGAGACGCGACAATGACAACGACGACGACGACGGCGCGGCGCACTATCACCGTGATCACCCGCGGCGGGACGGTCAAACATAACAAGCGACCGTCGCGTTACGCGTGCGACATTTCTGCGTGCTCTCCTCGCGGTCCCGCTGTCGCGCAGTGTCGCCACGGCCGGAAACTGACCGCGGTCTCGGTCGCCGCTCCGCGCGCCGGCGCGCGCGCGCGCGCGACAGAGAGGGAGCCAGGGAGGGGGGGCAGACCGGAACCGCGCGAACTTTCGGACGGCCCCTGCAGCGGCTGCAGCTTCCTCGCGCGAGCGACGGGACGCTCGAGAGGCGCGATTTCGGTCGAGCCCCGGTGCGATTTCGGCCGCGATCCAATTAATCGCGACCCTTACCGGCGACGCGCTCGTCATCTTTGTTCGCGCGAGCGGACGCGTTTAGTCGCGCGTCGTTTGGACACGTGGAGGCGTCGGACGGCGAATTACGTAAGCGGCCTTTGAAGCTTCCCGCCGGGAGGCAAATGCATTAAAAGAAGACATTAAAAAAAAAAGAGGGTAACTGGGGACAGGCTCCTGCTCCGATCGATCGCGATCTCGCTCGCTCGGGGACGGTCGTCCGCCGGAAGCGAGTCGCTCCCGATTCACCGTCGACGTCGCGCCCGCCCGCGGTTTCGCTCGGCCGCTCTGCGCGCGTGTCGCGATGGCGACTCTGCTCGGTTTCGCGAGGCTCCTCAATTGCGCGGCGGGCAGCTGCCTGAGAAGAGCGACGCCGGCCGCAATTTGCAAGCAGTATTATCCCGGTATGTAGTCGCGGCCGCGCGGAAACTGCGCGGCGGAGACCTAACCTCTTTCTCCGGGCGCGAAGGTGGAGCCGGTGGAGGACGTCCCTAAAGAGGGAGGACCGGGAGAGAAACTGCAGCTCGTGTATCAGTTTATCAAAGGACCCGGGAAAATTGTGTAGACAAGAACACATGGACGAGAAGACGTCCCCGTAGAGGGGGGAAATGAAACAAAACGCGAACCTAACCTCCCTTCCGCCGCGCAACGTTTTCACGAATTACTTTTGAAGATTGACGTCTCGTAATGTCGACGCCTCGTCGCGTTAAAGCGTCGGGCCTGTTTAACGTACTTTCCTGGTGACATAGCTGGTGGAACCTTACACGCGAAATCGTCCGGCGACGAGGCTCCACGCGGTGTGAGAAAGCGACGTCGAAAGTCGCAGCATGCTGCGCTGAAATTTGATGATAAATTTATCAACGCGAGGGAGACACAAGTTTTCGTTACATTGTTACATGTTAAGCTTATTGATGTAATTTTATCAGCCGATTAATAGCGAATTCGGCAGCTTGCACGGGTGCGCACTGCGTGCACGGTTGCCCGGGCGAAAAGTTTAAGTGAGAGATGACGTTTATATTTATTTATGAAGAGTCTTATTGATCATCAGTTCAACTTGATCTCTCTCGTCCAACACATGTCTCTTATATTTGTCACTCGTCAGTTCAATCTGATGTCTTGTCTAACACACAACTCTCGATACTTTTACTTGTGTCTTACAATCAATAATGCAACTTCAATCGACTCTGCTCTCTTCAACCAAAGAGCACTTTACTGGTCAAGGTTCGGTTGCACCAACGTCACATAATTTGAACTGTAGCTTAATTCACTCTTCGTCTATTTCTGCGTCCCTTAGAAAGAGACTAAGAGTGAATTAAGCTAAAGTTAAGCGACATTGGTGCAAACAGGCCCAAGTACTTCAAAAAGTATTTAAGGCGACCCTTAAATATAAGAATTGACTGTAAACAAGCCTCAGTGCGCGCTAGTGCAAGCTGCCGAATTTGCTACGAGACTACGCGGCGCAGGGAAGATAATGAGAAATGACCTGTTTCAGCATTGAGACTGTGGGAGACGTCAGTAGCAGGGTATCGGACGGCCAAGCCACCATGGATGAGGCCAATCCAGGATTACCAGACGGAGGTGCAGGAGTGGGACGAGGAGAGGGAGAAGATATGCACTGGTTGTTAACGTGACTTACTTTACAGCCCGCGTACGAACGCGGCTCAATCGTCCTTGACGAATCTAAGCTAATCAGCGCATCTCGTTCGCAGACGTTACGAATGAGATCAACAATCAGATCGCGACCGACAGTACGGGCCGCTTGTTCGCGATCGTGCAAGTATGCGGGAAGCAGTTCAAGGTGACGGTGCACGACATCATAATCATCGAGGGGTTCTGGCCGCCGAACATAGGCGATCAGCTGAAGCTGGAGAAGGTGCTGCTGGTCGGCAGTAAAGACTTCACTCTCATAGGCAGGCCGATACTGAACAGAGAGCTGGTCTCGGTCGACGCGACGGTCATAGAGAAGACTCTGTCCCAGACGAAAACTCGCTTTAGGTTTCGGCCGAGAAAACAGTATCGCCGTATTAACTGTAAGACACCAAGAATTCGAAATACGTAGACATGAATTAATCAATTAATCAAAGCTGGTCAAGTGGCTGATTCCAAAGTTGAACTAAAGAAGCAAATCAACCCATTGCGATAAGAAAAAGATACAAAAATCCCACAGAAAAGAAATGAGTATTCCTGTGCCGTGTAAAGTCTTGATCATAAATCGCCTGATAAAATTATATTAATTGGTTTATCATGAAGTTTCGATACAACGAAACATTGTAGCTTACGCCATATAAAGTCTTGCACGATTTCGCACACTTTGCTCGAAAATTTCTCTATGCAGGGTGTCTAAAAAAAACAATTCAATATTTATATGGTAGATAGGACACACCATACCGAGTAAAAAATACCCTAAATGAACATAGGTCGAAAACTCAACCGTTTCTGAGGTATAAACATTACAGGCTGCAACATGTCGCATGCGATGTTCTCCCTCGATCCCCTGATTTTAATCCATTGGCCGTTTTTTATGGGGATATTTGAAAAGCATAGCGTATTCTTTGCCGATAAATGACTCAGAAGAATTAGTGCTTGTCAAATAATTCGACAGAGACCTGGAGTTTTCGAGAGAGTTCGCGACTACTGTAAGAAGAAGCTGCCAAGCGTGTATGAAAATGGAAGGAGGACATGTGGAACATCTGTAAATATCGAGATATTAATTTAGACAGATTGTCTTCTTCTCACGTAGCATGCGACATAGAAGCCAGTAAGTCAATGATACGATGTTAACATACAAAAAAGTTTATATCTCAGAAACGGTTGAGTTTTCGACCTGTGTTTATTTAGGTCTTGTTTTTGAACGCCCTGTATAGATCGCCTGGTAAAATCATATTAATAGACTCATCATCGAATTTCTCCTTTCGCCGCCCCGCTTCACTCAATGCGCTCTCGACTTCTTTCAGTCTACAGAATACAACACACGATGCTGCGGATCAACTCCATAAATATAAACGGGAACATCGACGAGAAGAAAGAAGTGGAGGGATTAGATAGAGTGTATTAATACTTAATAACACGTGTATATTATGTATGTATCAATAAAGGCAGTGGTGCCTAAATATATCGCGTATTATCTCCGGATAGCTACCGGTATCAAGAATAGAAGGCAAAAATGATTTATTTCAGGTCGAGCCGACAGATTGTATCGTGGATACGGATTTGATAAGAAACGCTGCGAATTTTCAGAAGCGCGCAAATTGAATTCCCTCGCACGGAAATTGCCCCCGGCGATTTAATTATCGAGGCGATCAGCCGGGAGGACCGCCGTGTGGATCGCCTCGCTCCCGCCGAGTCGTTTCCCACCGTCGCGATCGTCGATCCGAAATCGCGCGGTCCCGACCGGCGGGTACGATGACATCCCGCGGAGGACATGCGCCCGCGAACGTGACACGTGGGCCACGCGGTGGGGTGGGCTCCGCGAGTGGATTGGAGCGGAGCGGAGCGACGAGACGACGGCGCGCGGCGGCCGGCAGTGACGGGGGACAGCGTCGCGCGGTGCGGTCGATCGTGTTTCGTTTCCTCGGCAGGGAAAACCGATCGGCAGCTTGCGTTTCACGCCGCCCGCACGCGCGCACAGCCGGGAGAGACCGCGCGCGCGCGCTCCGTTCCGGGACGACCTGGGCCTCCTCGCGGAGCACGTTTTCGACTTTTGGAAGAACACGAAAAGATGCCCCCCACCGCTGGCACGCACGCCGGACGCTGAACTGCGCTCTCTCTTTCGCTCCCGGCCTGTAACTCGGCCCCGGTTCCTGGCGCCGTAGGAGAGCGGGAGTTCTCGTGGTGAGTTCGCGCACGCCGAGCCCCGGGAAAATCGGAGCGTCCCTCGGCGGTTCAGGTATTTCGAACCGGTTTCAAGGACGCGCGAGTTTCCCCCCCGAGCGGGGATTTTAAATGCCTCTCGCCCGCTCTTTAGATTTGCGGCTCCCCCTCCTCGGAGTAGGCTCGAAATTTAAAAAGAAACCGTGAAATTGTTACGCTACATGAAAGTGAGATTGAGAACCAGTTTCTCGAACCAGTTGTTTTCTGCATAATGTGTTTTTTTTTACTTCTTGTTGTAACGATTGTGTCTCCTTCTTCAGTTCACCAACTTTGGCATCGGCCACTTGACCGCTGCTTCAACTAATTCATAAATCTCTCTCTTAACTCGCGCCTAAGTATCCTCTCGTGGACAGCCCGTTTTAAAAATTACATCAAAGTAAAAGGAGCAGTTGAGAATTCCATTCCTATACTCTTTCGTCTGCGGTCAAATTATTACACGTTTATTCTTTTACCGTAGTGACCTTGTGTCTACCTTGTCAGTTTATCAACGTCGGAAATAATTGCCGCGTATACGTGTGCGCGGATAAGCAAAGTGCGCTCGTCATAAACGCAGGCGTCGCGGTTCCCGCGCGAAAAAGACAGAGAGAGAGAGGTAAAAGGAGAAACCACCACCGATTAACAGCACGGTCTGCAATTCGCGCTTGGACTCGCCGTTCAATAGCATGCTGTGCATGATCAACGCCATCCGCAGCTGCGGGGACCAAGATCGTAAGAGGCCAACAATAAGTGTCGCTTTCGAAGTGTTGGAAGACGCGTGGGGCTCACGTTCCCTCTCTCCCGCCTGGAGGCCGGCGGATCGCAATGTGCCTTCGCTATTTCGGCAATCTGTTTTCGCATGACTATGCACGTATCTTTATCGCCCCGATATATAATGCCATGCCGCCGTCGAGATAAACTGCCTTTGGCATAAAGTGTCAAGTGTCATCCGACGCTACGCGCCGTAGCAATGTGAACGTCACCCCGCGGGCGAACTTCTGCAATTGCTCAAGCGGGAGATCGCACGGTTTTAACGCGACGATCACGCATATGTGCTAAAGACTGTGTCGCGTTTCAGCTTCTGTCCCTCTCGTTCTCGTACAGCGGAAATTTGTTGTTAAATCGAAAGTACGCGGCAATCACAATTAGAAAAGACTTATCTGATGTACTGCAGGAAGTGTGGGGCATCATCTCGCTCGAATAACGAGATTTTATCGAACCTTTGGCGATTAATTTTGATCATGACATTGACGACAGTGAACGATAATAATGCTTTTGTAAATGTGAAATTATAATTGAGGGATTTGTCTTGCTAGATTTGACAAGTATTAATTCCCAGATAGCACAAGACACTGCTATGAACATTTGGAGAATATTCTTCAAGAACATTTGGAATATTCCATGGGTCATTCTTATATATTTATCCAGGGTGTCCAGCGAACTCAATGAAAACAATTCCCTGACTTTTTCAGGTTTTCCAGGAGCCGGAATTAAGTTTTCCCTGACCGTTTGGTGTAACTTTTTTCAAGATGCATAATTTTCGTACATCTGTATCGTAAATCAAGCAAATGTTAAATGACGAAGTCCTTGAAATATTCTTCTCGGCAAACAAAAGTCCGGAATTTAAAAAGGTACACTGAAAAAAAATCTGATAGATTCAACCAGTCGTCTGTTAGAAAATGGACGAATCAGAATTCCTTTAGGATTTACCATGAAAAATATTTCATAACCAGAAGTTTGCTAGGCTTCACTACACATCTGGTAAATCCTAAAGAAATTCTGATTCCAGAAGGATATTCATAGAACTATGTGTGCTATCTGGGAATAACCATTTCTAATATCGCGCTCCAACTTTGCAAGAAACTTGGAGAGCTGCCTACGTTCAAATTTTTAATTGATTCGAATGCACCGTAGTAAATAGCGCTACTTATCGTTAGAGCGTCACGTTTCCTCGTTATTCGATTAATTCATCACTTTCAGTTATTCTTAACAATAAATTTCATCCCTGTGCATTGTCCCACGTCATCTCGCGCTATCCAGTCACATCCAGATCCCGCCGAATCCTCGTAATACGTCCGCGTCGAGCTTCAAAGGTCCGCCGCAGGAATCTGAGCGGGATTTTGCAAAATGGCAGGTAAGAAGAAGGGCAAAAAGGCGAAGAAGAAGCAGGAGAAGAGGGCCGTGGATGAGCATCAGTTGCGCAGAGATCTCAGGAAGCTGACGAAGATGACGAAGTCCGCTGACCAGGCGCAGGAAGCTGCGATGTCCACGCAGGTCGAACCGCAATACTCCGAGGATATTAGGATCGGCGGTGTAGAGGGGTGAGTTTTTCCCTTTTCTTCTCTCAATCGCAACCAATTAACTTAATTGGCCAAATCTTCCGCATCCCTGTAACGAAGTGAAATTTAAACGAATGCCTCTCCAAGCGATGGAAATTTGTCGTATGTAAGCAAAATAACAAATATATGTTGTATTAGGTGTTTGACGAGCGCTTAGCGAGCGCGATGAAACGTACAAAAAGGAATCAGTTATCGGAAACGCGAGATATTGGATTCTACGAAACGTATAACGTCGTACACTCCGTCCCGCTTCGTTTCCCACTTAAAAATCAACCCGGAAAACCTGGACGATAACAATCCTGCGAGTTACACGTCTCTCATTTTGTCTGCGATTTTATCTGTCGAAATCCAAGTGGCATGATCGATAAGCGTTTCATTAATCCCAAGATCGCTGCTGGTCAATGTTTCGTGCGTGCATCTCAGATATTTCCTTTACTTCGTGATGCTCTTCGTAGCGTTTGCTCTCTCCCTTATTGTAATATTTATCTTATCGTGACGTGCTTACGCACATTTAAAGCGGCTATTTTTGCCTTCATCGAGGAAGCTGGAAAGAGAAACGCAAATATGTCAGTGCTGTAATTCGCAAATTTATTGCCCGAATTATTGCAAAAATCTTCGGGTTGTTTTTCCTTGCAACCGAAAACGAATAGACGCTTCGCGATTCATTGCGATTAGCAGTCCGCAAAGTGTTTGCAAAAAAAAAAGAACAAATTTGTACATCGATCGGAATTAAAAAGCACGAAGTACATTCCGTATCTCATCGCGCGATAACATTTCTGAATCGGAAGTGGCTGTAATAATGAAAACCAATAGTATCTGATGTCATTCTTTCTCTCCCGCTTTTTTTTTTGCAGACATTTTACTTTATCATTTTGCTGTTACATAATCCGTAATAATTCTTCGGTTCAGGATATCGAATGATTTCCGTTCTTACGAGATAGAAAGAGAAGGAGACAGGATATCTTTCAGACATTGATAACAGCAATCAGCGTTCATTAAGCTGGGCCTCGGGCTGGGCTTAACTATGACAGGTCATGCATATCTCCCGCTGAGTGGATACATCGATCTTTGTTTGTTGGGGAAATAATCGAGTCACTAAATAACAGAAAATATAACTGATTACGTAATTGGTCGCGCCGTACGGAGAGGCAATAATTCGTGGCCCGGGAAGAAAAATTCAGATGCACGAGCTCGCGCAATCGTACAATCCTTCGCTCATGACACAAATTTAATGGCCAGTTAATTAAATTTTCAGAGGCGGCACGTACTCCACGCTCGTGATACTCGACGGGAAGGGCACGAAGCTAACAGAAGTTGAAGGACCACACACCAATCATTGGGTGATTAAAAAATGCATTACGCGAATGGCATATCTTTGAAGCGCTGTGCGAGTCGAGAGCGGGGAAAATTGACACGTACAATTTTCAAATTTTAAAACCAAGTCTGCAGCGCTTTTGAAATAAACGATTCGAATACAGAGACGTTGTTTAGCTTGCTGGAGAAAATGATGGCAAAGAGTATAAAGATCTGATATACTTCCAGTCAATCGGGATAGACGAGACGGCTGCCAGACTCAGCACGATGATCGAGAAGGGTAAACAGGCGCTAGGGATGCCGGAAACTGTTCCTTTAGATTGCGTAGTGAGTAGAAGAAATAGACTATCTTCGTTACCTAAATGCCGTCACGTTAATGAGACGAATTTGAGATAATATTCTTTACTCCGCGAGACCTGCAAATTTCGAATCAAATGGAATCAACCTCGAAAAGGAGAACTCAGCGATTTCTCTCGTCAACAGGGACTTACTTTAAGCGGTTGCGAGGAGGAATCCACCAATCGTCAGCTCGTGGAGACTTTGTTGGGGAAATATCCACAGTCCGCCAAGGACTACATGATTGGCTCGGATACTCTTGGTAGCCTCAGGACCGGCTTGCAATCCGGCGGGATCGTGTTGATTGCCGGAACCGGTAGCAATGCGTTGCTGATTAATCCGGATGGGAAGACTCACGGTTGCGGGGGATGGGGATACATGATTGGCGACGAGGGGGGAGGTACATATTGTTTACTGTAAAATAATACAATAAGGAAAGTTAGTTTCAAAATTAAATTCAAAAATCTTAATTTCGTCCCCTCGACAGTAGTGGCCTAGATTCTCGTTTCGACAAAGTCCTGGAATGCTTTATGCATTTAAATTCTTGACATTAGCCACACGATTAAGTCCCGTCTTTTGTCGATGCTTCAAGCTTACTGGACCGCCCATCGCGCCTGTAAATATGTATTCGACGATATCGACGATTTGGTGAAAGCACCGGAACCAATAAGCTACATCTGGCCGGCGATGAGAAGTTACTTCAACGTGACCGATCGGAACGGTATATTACCGCATCTGTACGCGAATTTCGATAAAAGCACTATCGCCGGCTTCACCAAGGAAATCGCGATCGGCTGCGAGAAAGACGATCCGCTGTGCCTGAAACTCTTCGAGGAAGCTGGACAAGTGCTGGCGAAGCATATTATCGCCGTCTCGAAGAAGGCTCATAACGTCAGTGTCTCACCTGCAAACGAGATAAAACGATATAATTCATATCAAATGCAATTTCATAACTAAAAGAAATTTTATGGTAAAATCAACCTGCCAGCGCGTTGGTTTAAATTGCATCTTTTCCCCTCAGGATCTCAAACTGGCCCACGGCGGCTTGAAGGTGATCTGCGTCGGATCTGTTTGGAAATCGTGGAAATTCATGAAGAAGGGTTTCGTGGACGAGATTCATGACACGCATGTCGTGGATGAGCTAAGTCTGATGCATCTGACAACGTCATCGGCCTTAGGCGCCTGCTACCTGGCCGCGGAGAAGATCAACTGTCCATTCGTCAAGCCGTACGACAGCAACGTCGAGATCTTTTTCCATTACAAGCGCGACAATTATCCGGAGACGCGGAAGACGGAACATTCGGTAGAATTAAAAAATCATACGCCCGACTGCTGCAGCAGCGCTCACGTTCACGGAAACGGGGAAAGTACACGATAAGAAATAAAGTTTCGAAACACACATGGCAGCGTTTTTTTAGTCGGCGTTGAAACTTTATCTGGCGACACGTGGCGAAAGTAATAGACGAAGATTATCTCGCATGATTAACAAATTGGAAAGATCCAAGTTCCTGATTGGAGGCGATTACGAAGCACACATGTAGCTCTATCTAAATACATATCATACAAATCTGCGGAAAATACCAAGATTTCGCATGTGTAAAAACTACAAATTGTAAATATCGATTGAACGTGTATATATAAATTTTCATGAAACCAAAAGCAATATAATAAAATCTTGAGCACGCATTGATGGAAAGTATTGTAGCGATTTTTTTTGTTGGTAGCGCAATCGAGTCGGCAATGAATTTTGTTTCTTCTATACGCACCGAACTTCACAATGATAGAAGAATGGGGCTAATGGGACTGAAAGCCATCTGGGACACGGCATGGAGCTTCATATCGTGGATTTTCTGTCTGATCATTAAAATTGCATTGTATTTGCTTTTGTCTGTCTTCAGTTTGATATTTTTCGCGGGCTGTATTGGCGCAATAGTAATCCTCATTTTGTACGCTTTCGGTCTCCTACCGACAGACGAAGGCAGATGATCAAGAGACCCGTAGACGTATCGTATCTAGTAAGTGATTTAACAGAATTAGCATCACCGTTAATTGAATGTACATGCCGAAGCGCGAGAGAAGCTTCATCTGATGCGTCTTGAGAAAACATATCGCAGGCATACTATTACGCGGCAACATATTTTTAAAAAATATATTTATATCAGGACATATCACAATTTATCTCGTGTACATTGCAACACACATACAAGTATAATATTCCTTTCTCTCTTATTTACATTTAGACTAAAGCTGAACTACCACAATTCATAATAGTCGAGTTTGAATTATAATTCATTGTTTTTTTTAAACAAATTGTTTTAACGACACAATTATAATTCTGTAATATATATATATGTATTTATAATATATGAGCACAGGCCTTGTCGCATTAAATAACATTTATTTAAAATTTAACGTGTTAAAAAATATATATGTATATAATTACATATTTAACTATCTCTCGAGAAAAAACACGATCAAAACAGCCATGTAGGAATTATTATGCTGTCGTTGTTTGCACATACATTTATTCTTAGTATCGAGCTCAAAAGACACTCCGCGAAATACTTAACGATACAATATGTGCTTGCTACAAAGCAAAATATTGTTTATTTTTTTATTACGGCACGCTCACCTTATTAGTGTCCTAATCTCATTAATTTTATCGCGGATCGACGCGTAAATCGCTTGCCGTTCCACTTGTGGACAAGAGCTACTAAATCACGGCAGACATTGATACCCCATTTGTGTCAATGTCTATGACCTACATGCAATTAACTCCTGATTTTTACGCGCGGCCGCGCGCACGTTTCGATTTCACGTTACACTATCTCGATATTTTACACATATAGTCTTCATTGCAGCGCTCGAAAATATTTAAAGACATATTCCTACACGATATCATTTATACAAGGAGGCAATGCAGTTGAAATTTTACTTACAATAATCATATTTTTATAAATATCCGGATCGGCGATATAGCCATCGTGCGGTTTCCTCGATTAAGGATACCCCTAGGAATACATTGCGGCACGAATGCACTAGTTTAACTTCCCCATTATATACACGCGGTGGAAATTAATGACTTTACGAGCTAATAATCAGTGCTTCAAATCGAATATTTCTATAAGCAGCGGCTCCACACTGGATGGATTGACGTTCAAATAAACTCCCACGACCTCGTCGTTCAGTTTGTGGAGCTCAGAAATCTTCTGTATTAACTTGAGGAATGTGGACTTGGCTTCGCAGCCGGGATAAACACTCTCCAGGTACCGTCTGAGGAGATAATAATATGAATTCTGGAAGAAAGAAAAATCGATGAAAAAGGTCCGACAAATTTTCTAAATCTTTATATAAAAAAACCCCATGTTATAAACTGACTGCCAACTTCCATGTTGTCCCAACATTATGTAAATTACCTTAACTCGTGTACATATATTTTAAGAATGTAAGAACGTCTCAGAATAATTAGCTATTAAAAAAATTGTTAAGATTGGACTTATTACCTGCTCCAGTTTAATAACATCGCCGTGCACGACTCTCGGTCTGTCGGGAGTGAACAAGGCGATCGCGCTCAAGATCAAAATGATGTTCTCGTCCCGCCACCGGGGATCGAAAGTTCTGACGAATCTCGCGTGCTCCGCGTACAAGTTTCCCTTCGCTTCTTTCAGAACGTCAACCTTGATATTCGACATGCTCTCTTGGCTATGAGGTATCTTCCACATGTCCTTATCCGGATCGTAATTGATGGCCGATCTTAGGATCATCATTTCCGTACAGCCGCCTTTCAGCAGAGCCAGCTGATCCTCTTGACACATATTCTTGAAGGCGTTAATTTTCTTAGACATTTTTATCAAGCGCCTAATCGCTATCGCCGTCAAATTGATCACGTCTAGCAACATTGGATCGGACTGTCCGAAGTTATTCTGCAAATAAATGTTTTATAGCCACTTGCTATCCATCTTTCCGAAATTGCGCACACGCGAGACGTGAGGTTTGAAGTTGCGCTACCTTGAATTTACACTCTTCGCCAACCAAATTCGTTATGTCGTCGTCTAGCGGAGCCAACAACGCTTTGTTGGCAACTATCAGCTCGTTCAATTTCGCTCTCTCGGCGTCATTCAATTCTCTGCTGCTCTGGTTACCGCCGAAGCTAGAAAACGCTGAATACTCCAACTTGATGGCCTCACACAAGATCGACTCTATAGAATTCACGGCGATTGGTATCCTGAAAGAAACATTCCATTTTAGCGGCAAGTTTCGTTAGTGCGCTAGTTGAAGCACGTTATTCGATCTATCGCGCTACCTTTGAACGTCCTGGAGAACATCTTTGGTAACGTCGGCTGTATTCTTATTCCAATCCGTATTTGTACTAGATTCCAAATTTTGATTCTTGCACTCCTCCGTGTTACGGTTCGTAATCAAGTCCGTCAGGATCGGATTTTCCACGTGGCTCCCCTTGGACTTGGGCACGTATCTAGAGCCGCCCGGGCTGCCGTTATCCTTCGGCGCTTCTCTCGACTGAACTCTTGTTTTGGCGTTACGGCCACGCCCGACGGTCGCCGTATCGATTATGTCGTTTTCCTTCAAGAATTGCGCGATATACGGATCCGCCGCCAGGCACGTGGCCATATCGGGATCCGTCATAATCTTCATTATTACCCTCTGATCTTGAAATATCTTGGTGATTAAGCTTGGATTGTTGACGAACTTTGTCAGCAGGCTGGGATCCTGCTTGAACTTTGCAACCAAATTGCTCCCGCTCGAACACATCTCCTTCGGCTTCTGGCATATCGACGTTTCCTCTTTCGCGAGCTGCGACGACGCGCTCAGATCAGACTGACTCGTCTCGCCGTGCGACGCCCGATTAACATACGCGGCGGAACTCTGTTCGCGAGTATGCTCGAATTTCGAGTAACTGGGCGCGTTGTTCTCCTCGCACACAGGATTGTAGATCGACGGCTCCTGATTGACGTCCACAAACTCGGGACTGAACTGTAGCGAGCTCTGCTCGTACTTGTCCAAGCTCGGGGGCGAGCTCTTGTCCGCCGCCGTGCTCTGAGGCGCCACGTTAAGATCGGTGAATCTCGCGCGGCTGCAAACAGACAATCCCTATTGAATTTTCATTGATTACCTCCGCGCCTTTCTCCGTGCACCAGACAAGTCGGCCGTACCTGGCGAGATTAGACCGCGGACCGTGAACGGACTCCTTCAACATGTCCAACGTCTTCGTTTCGGCGATGCTCGCGTTCTCCGGTGGACTCGAGGGACTCGGCACGCTCGCCGCCGTCACCGGGCTCATACTCTCAACGACGTTCTGCCTATTGCTGTCCAGGTCCGTGTACTTTCTGTCGGACTCCCAAAAGTACGTCTCGGATATCGTCGACGCGACCGAATTGACCGACATCGACGTGTCCTCGAACGTACAGTCGTTCACGCAGTCCTTTTTGATTTTCAACGTCTTGCCGTTGTCCTGCTGTGTTCGCTTCTTCGCGCGGTTCTTCTCGATCTTCTTCCGCTTCAGGACCTTATCCTCCTCCGACATGATGTACTCCTTGCGCATGCCGATGCTGAAGCACTTATCCAGGCGGCATTTCTGGCAGAATCGTCTGGTTACGTTTGTGATGTTACAGTTTTCCGTGAAGGGGCATTTGAAGTCCTGCAACGAGAAACATACGATTCAGTCTCCGATGTAAAAACCTATGCTTTATATATTTACTGATCAATTCCAAAAATATCGCGTAACCGACGGATCTATCGATGTCTGCGTATATTCAATTCGTCTTCAATTAATCGCACAAATTAGTCATAGCAATTTTCCGCGACGCTAAACGGAAGTCGTTTCAAATGCAGAAATTGCGTCAATATCTGAGAGAAAACACGTCTTATCTAGTGTTCTCAAGTCCACCGTCATTAAACTTCAATGTAGATGTTACTTTCGAGATTAATAACTGCATCTTCTTTATACACTCGTTAATAATCTTTCGGCGGGTCAAACGAGATACGTTTCAATCGGTGCATTTTTATCGCCGTACAAAAATTACGTGTGCAACATAGATGTAAATGAGAAAGAATCGGCTTCAATTTGGATCCGTCAATAAGTATACAAAGTTCTCCACGACGGTAAGATCGTCAAACCAATCGTTCGTAGATTGACAATTCATTGGGCCATTCAAGACGTCATTTGGCCCAATAATAATCCAATCCATGCTCCAAACCCGAGAGACATGAAACTTGAATGAAGTCTACTAATATTGAGATTAATTTTCTCGTGTTCTTCGGAGACGGTCCGGCCTGTGTCCACTAGAACTTGGCCCAAGCTCCAGTTCGGAGAAATGTGTTGCCAATCAACTTGCCTTTATAGCTGCGAGTCGACTGGCTATCTCTCGAAATTAGAACGTGGACCAAGTTCTAGCGTCGTGGACACTGGCCTTCGAAACGGACGCACTCAATACAACAGTGACACAGTCAAGCTTTCCGAAAACTTAACAGTTCGCAAGGATCATCAGATTACCAGTGAGTCACTCGTGTAACTCATCCAGCAACAGTAATCTAATATGTGCATGTAAAATTCACTCGGGACCAGTTTCACAGACGTCGGCCGTTACTTAACCAGAGTTCAGTCAACTCCATATCCTCCTCTATCCTATTAACCAAGAAGAGACAGAGAATCAATTAACCTTCGGTTAGCAGTTAACCGGCGTTCGTGAAACTGGCCTTTAAACGTCAGACAAAGTATCTTCTCGCGGGGGAAGCCCCTCGACGTTAAAATCAACGTTAAATGGCAAAATCGATCTCGCCCGAACGCAATTTCCTCAGTAGCCGTCGCGGTCTTCGTCGCGGAGATCCACCCGGGCCTCCTCCTGGCCGGGAGCCTGGGGGAGGCCTCGGGGCTCGGGGGCGGGAGATGCGAATTCACCTTGTTCTTCAACGCGTTCCTCCTGAAGAAGGCCTTGCAGCTCTCGCAGGAGACGGCGTTGAAGTTGTAGCCGAGCGCCCGGTCGCCGCAGACACCGCAGATCTTGTTGGCCTCCCGCGCCGGCTGTTCATCGTCCATTGCTCCTGGGGCGGCGTTCTTGGCGATTAGCAACGGTCTTATCTTACCCGCGCGGCCAGCAACATCGTTCGCCGGTCTCGCTCGCGCCGCTACGCCGTCTTACTCCCTCGCCGTCCTCTCGCCGCTCGCGGAGCGCCGTTGACTCACGTCAACATTGTTTATCGTGCCTGCCAGGTCGGGGGGGGGGGGGTCGGGGGAGGGGCTATTTACCGCTCATGACAGCATCTTCTCTTCTTCCTCCTCGCCGAACGCGGCCCCGCCGCGCGGATCCGCGCCTACAAAAGCTCCTTAAGTGACCGTACCGAATGAGACGTTCAATTGACGGGTCTACTTGTCAACAGTTAACGGGACGGTGCGCGCACAAATCCGTCGTACGATGTATGTACGATCCGCTCATCCCGCCGTCCCTCTCCGCCCCGAGACCAACCATCGCCCGAGGTGCGAGGTACCGCGCCACGCGTCCCCGAAATGTAACTAGGCCGCGCCCACGTGACCGCGGGCCATCCTCGCGCGCGCGCATTCAAACCCGACTTCCGGAGAGCGGGGCATCCGATCCTCCCGAGAATCCCTTTTCCCCTCCTGCGGCGCGATCGTGGATCTCTTCCTCTAGCGTGAACTCGTGAAAAGCGAGAAGACTTCATCGACGAGTTTAATATTTATCAATTTTTTTATCTTTCACGAGTTCAAGCTAGAGAAGAGGATTCATGACCGAGCCCCAGGAGGGAAAAGGGGGATCCTCGGAGGATCTCGAAACTATTCTTCCCTGGGGCTCGATAGTGAATCTCTTCCTCTAACGTGAACTCGTGAAAAGCGAGAAAACTTCATCGAAGAGTTTAATATTTATCAATTTTTTATCTTTCACGAGTTCAAGCTAGAGAAGAAGATTCATGACCGAACCCCAGGAGGGAAAAGGGGGATCCTCGGAGGATCTCGAAACTATTCTTCCCTGGAGCTCGATAGTGAATCTCTTCCTCTAATGTGAACTCGTGAAAAGTGAGAAAATTTCATTGACGAATATATTCATCAATTTTTCATCTTTCACGAGTTCAAGCTAGAGAAGTGGATTCATGACCGAGCTCCAGGAGGGAAAAGGGGGATCCTCGGAGGATCTCGAAACTATTCTTCCCTGGAGCTCGATAGTGAATCTTCCTCTAACGTGAACTCGTGAAAAGCGAGAAAACTTCATCGAAGAGTTCACCTTTCACAAGTTCAAGCTAGAGGAGAAAATTTATGATCGAGCCCC